TCCTACAAGTATGTATATTCTACAAAGAATACTATGGAGTTTCTCTTCCTCCCCTGTTACACAAGAGATAACCGATTAGGGTTCCATCGACTTGTACTGTCACTGGCAGCGCACCAGCGTTCGGCTTGTTCTGGCGACAGGGCAGAGGGATCAGGGCGGGAGGGTGTGTGCTAAGGCATGTAAATAGATACACACAGAGAGAAAGAAAAGTGGGACATTTACAAAGAATCCGAACCTTTCCGAGCCCCTCCCCTCCTGGGTGTTGAAGGACCCCTCCTGCACGAATGCTCTTGCTCGCTAAGGCCTCGCTGTACCCTGCAAATACTTACAACTGGAAATGGTGAAATATACAACAACTGTTAACATCGCTCTCTTTTTATCACCGAGACAATACTTCAAAACCTTTTATAAAAAGGCAGTTATACAGACAGAAAAAAGAACACGTTGGCGAAACTTGATGCAAAACAACCCCAGAACTGAGTTGGAAAGGGCGACACATCCGCACTGTAATCGAACACAACACGATGCTATGGCCTCAGCACGTGAGGGCTGCATGGCCTTCTCAGTCATCCCCCCCCCCCCCCCCCCCCCCCCGCCGCCAGCTGCCGCCCCCACCTCCTACCCTGCTGCCCGGACGTCATTCCAGGACACAGCTGAGACTGGAAGTCGGTTCCCCCAATTCTTAGTCTCTTCAAAATGAGAAAAACAAAGGCGGGGCCACTCACTGTGGAGGAACGCCTATGTCTGCTCCCAGGCACAACTCCTTCTGAGAGGTTGCACTCCCTCTGGGTCCCGAGACGGCGAACCCCAGGCGCCTCTCGGTGAGAGCGCCGGCAGCCAACTTCAACTTCTGAGTTTCTGAGCATGCGGAGGTATGGAGTTGTGCTTGGGGCCAGAAATGAGGTCTCCTGTGTGGTGACAAACGTCTCTTTCCGTTTTCTTTTGCTCAGTCCGTTTGCACAGGTTCAAGAGAATTGATGGAGGGTCAGGTGAGAGGTGGTGGGCACTCTGGGGTTTTTTTATGCCTTGCAAGAGCTAAGACTTGGAGGGGCCTGTGCTAGAGATGATGGCATGGCCCCCCCACCCTCCTCTCCCTGTGGGCTGGGTCTGCCCACCTTCTGCGACTCAAGAGTGGCAGAGAAAGGAGTAGGTAAAAGGGATGTGGACAGGTGAACATACCCTTTGTGGCCCTTTCTTCCACTTCCCGGATGTGGGCCGCAGCTGGACCTCACTCAGCTGGAAGACCAGAGACTTCCAATAGCTCCAAGTTTAAGGCGAACTGATAAGTGAACACGGGACAAGCCAACGGAGCATCAAGCCTTATGGGCACAGTCCTTTAACTGAAGACATCAAATAGAGAGGAAAGCCTTACTTCTAAAGGGGTGAGAAAAGGAAATGTTCTACCAAATGAGATGATTCACAATTAAAGCTGGTAGCCCTCCTGCGCGCTGCCTCAAAGAAGCAAAATGTCTAAGAGGAGAATCAATTAGAAGCGCAGAACAAGAGAAAGGCGCTTGGGGACCTTGAGCCTATGACAGGCTGTAGTCAGCCTTAGCATCATAAGCCCTTGTAGAGGATGGAATTAGGAAGTGGCGTTCAGTTCTGGAAAAGCAAACTCCTTCCCCGCCTCTCAACACACACACGCACACACACATGCGTACACACACAGGCACGTTTGATGGCATGAAGCGAGGAGGAGGAGGATGAGGAGGAAGAGGAAGAGGAAGAGTAGGAGGCGGCGGAGCGGTGAGGCAGCAAGGGGCTTGCTGACTGCAAGGTGCCTTCCCTTTCCAAAGGGACTGTGTGGGAGGCATCATAATTAAGAACTTATTAATGAGAAAATCTTCTTGCTAGCTTTAGCAGAGTGGTCTCTTTACCCCAAGAGACCTGAAACGAAGAAAAGGACATCACATCGGTGGGAGACAAGAGACTTTGATTTGGGCGGTCCTGTCCTTAAGGGGGCAGTGTCCACTCTGGGCTCTCCCCTGTCCCATTCCCCTGAGGGTGGCTCAACTGACTAATAAAGGAATGAACTTGAAGTCTCACTGAATGGGTAACTACGAGTGATTTGAAAACAAAAACTCCCCGCCCCCAGCAGTAATGAGATCAAAGCGTTCCCAAGATCATGGTAGTGTCGGGTCCAGGCCCAAGTGGCTGGCCCTGGAGGTGTGAGATTGAGCTGGACGTGGGACAGAGGGGCCCGCAACATCTTTAGATGACCCGCCACCAACAGGATGGGCCCAGAAGATACCTTCTGAATGCAAACAGCAGGAAGTAGGTCACCCGTTTCTTTTCTCTCCGAGCAGATATTTTAAACCATCTCATCTGACAGGAGATACATTTAATTGCATTTTAAAAAGCTACCAAATTATCTCGGCACTGGGAAACACTGGGAAACAAAGGAATTGAGTGACATCTTCCTTTTTAGGGTTAAAATTGTACAGGCTGTACGTGCAGTAACTACCACGTTATTAAAAAATCAGGACGCTTCTCTTTAACAAATAATTCCCCATGTTAAAAACGCACCCCCCCCTATTTTTTGCTGTGGGGGGGTGGGGCTGGGTGGGGGAGAGAACCCTCCGGAATATGGCTCAGTTGACCAGTGAGAAGATTTAATAATTCTAATTATTTGCTCTGGCTTTTAAAAAGAAAAAAAAAAAAAAACGATTTTGCTGATGGAATGGAAGCAGCGAAGAAACTTTTTAGTAATTTTCTCTGTGCAGTGGATGATTGTAATGTAGCAGCGGCAGTTTTGTACAGAAATTACTGAGTTTAAGTATTTTCTGGCAGGTCATAAAGATATAACTTTAGAGAATGACCTGTATTAGTGGAATGAACAGAGGATCTCTCTGAGAAGTTCAGCCAGAACGAGTTCTGGGAGCGGGAACTTTGCTATCCACACAGTGGCGAGAACGGCGCCCGTCTGTGTGCCTCTCGATTCTGGGGCCACAGACGTCTAGACTGGCATTGCTTTGCCCTTCTTCTGCTTGATCCACCTCTCTCAACGTGGCTTAAGATTGGCATCATCAGCATCTCTGGAGATTTGGCCTCAAAGGGTCAGAGGGGGTGTGGGCATTTCTGACCGAGGGAGGGGCTTCGCGTCCCCATGTGTTAGTTGTATTCTTCTTTGTGCTTCACTGGAAAAGAGGTAGAGCGGGCGCTTTCACACCGAGAAGAGCCCGGATTGTGGTCAGTACCATCACGGGAATGAATGACTGTCTGGCCTTCGCATCGGTTAGATTGAAATCAATCCTGACACGGCTCTACACAGCTCTTGGGGTTTCCCTTCTCCATCCAGGGTGTTTCTGGTTTGGCGGTTTGGTCGCCCTGACGCGGGGCCTCAACAGAAGCAGTTCACGCAACACTTATAAGTTGCAAACTCATCGGGTCACTGACAAAGGACAACATCAGAGAGAAAAAAAAATCATTGTTTAATAAGAGTCGGTGGGAGGGGAGGGTGACACCTTAAAAGGAGATGACAAACGCCTCCTCTGTGTGGTCCTTCAAGAGAGGCCGTTCAGCTCACAGCACGGCCTGCACGTCCCGCCAAGGCACAAAGCGATGAGGCCATCTAACCAAGAAGCAAACGGGATGGTACTTTATCAAGGATCGAAGGTTAACAGAACCACTTCACACCCTGACCCTCTAAGGAAGAATCTTCTGCTGACCTCTGGCCAAGAGTCAAAAGACCCGAGCCTGAATGTCCTGCACTGGAAGAGTGTGACCGCATGGAAGGGTGATGAGATGGCTCATGTTTGTAAAGCAACAAGGGAAGAGGATTCTCCTGTGCCAAGGGAGATAGCAAGAGGAAGGAGAGACCACAGCCAGCCTCCGGCACGTGGGTGGCCCTTGGGCGCGTTGCGCTCTGGGAGCCAGACGTGGTCCGAGCTGTGCTCTGGCGGAGTATTTTGTCATCCTGCCTACGGACAGTCACTCCCGGGCCTTCAGTGGTTCAATGAGCATCTAGCGAATTATAAAATCTAAAAGATCATCGGCTTGTAAACCTCAACAAATCTGTAATGAAATGAAGGACCCAAAGGCATTTAATTATTGAACACATAAAAGGAAGTATATTTAAAAAAAAATTGGTCAAACTGTCCTGTTAGTTATCATTTTAAAGGAATTTACAGGGCTGTTATAGATTATTCTTTTGGAATAATTCAGTTTATAGCAAATGCCTAAACTGGTTTCTTCATTGCACAGTATATTCTCTTAAAATGGGTGCTTTAAAACAATTACATACATATTAAAAATCCTCATTTCTCTGCTTAATTAAAATGTTAATACTCTCAGACAACACAGATCTGAAATGGTGAAACCAGCAATTCCCCCTCCCACCTTACAACAAATTAAATTGAGACAAAATTACAAACACATTTCACTACATGATTATTATTAATAAAAATCAGTTTTTTTTTTTTTTATAAAGTTGCCCGAAATGCAAGGGATGTGCATAGGTTTACAACTTAGTCATAATAGCATTTTATTCTTACTCCCCTGGGTGTGCCCCGTGAACGGAATGTACTTTGCTGTAGATTACAGATAGTTTTGTCCAACACAGACACACCGACAGCATAAACGCTCGCGACTGTCCACATGCATTAAGAGTCAAGACCCAACTTCAAATCTCTAAAAGGTTTACAGGGTGCTTCAAAGAGACAGTATCACATTATCTGGATGTTACATAAAGGACTTAAAAAGAAAAAAGCTATTCTAAAAAAAAAAAAAAAAGAAAAAAGGCCTTTAAAAATTTATGACTGTTTTGTAATCACTAAGACTGATTATTTCAAATAAATAAAGGAAAGAAAGATATTCCAATCCATAAAATCAGACTCTAAAAAGAATGTAGTGTTCCACCCCCAGTCAAGGTAACAGAATCATTGTTTATTATTAAAATAGATTATAGAAAGCAGCATCTATTTTGTGCAGTTTTTAGGGGCCTTGGAAATAAAAAGCTATGATTTCCAAAAATATAACATTCCAAAGGATTGAATAATACATACATTTAAAGATACATTTTATTAAAGTTTAGGAGAACTGATTAAAAAAGATACTGTCTCTTTAAATGAGTGTGTAATTGTTTTCTCCTCCTATCTATTCGGACATGACAATAATTATAAATGGAGGTCACACTACAACTAGGTAGTCTCTAGGGACCATGACCTGCTGACACACGGCCGGTAACAAAGAGGCTTTTCCATGAATGAGGTGGCTCCCGGGGTCACGGCAGGCCTCTCGGGAGAGGCCTAATAGACCCAGGAGACCGGGACCCACTGTGGGGCCGTGCACACGAGCTCCACGGCTTCCTCCAGGTGTCTGATTGTCTCATCAATTTCATTGTTGATAATTGTGAGATCGAAGTAGTGTGCGTATGTTCTCTGTAAGATGTCAGACTCCTTCTGCAGACGCTGAAGAGATTCGTCCTAAAGGGCGGGGGGGGGGGGGACGGGGGGCGTGGGAGGAGGGAAAAAGCAAAGAGAAGGGAGAAGTCAGCTGGAGTCTTTCTCTCTCCACGTTCCCCTTACTCTCAGTGTCCCAAGCAGTTGAGGCTGGACCTCGATGTGCTGCATCTGGGCACGAGGCCAAGTCCGCTTCGTGACAGAGGAGGCGGTGGGCCCCGAGACGGCAAGGTCACAGGGGACTGCTCACCACGCCACAGGAGCTCCACGCCAAACCGGGGGACCAGAGAAACCACACTCTTGGGCAAACACAACGCCCCGCTGGCCCGGCTGCCTCCATCTGCCCCAGAGGGAGCCAGTCTCCCGACCAAGCGGGCAGTGAGGGCTCTGGAGGTGAGGCCGGGGCCCTGCACCCCCCTATCCTCCGCGCGCACTTGCACCCGGCCGCAGGGCCCAGCTGCATCTGCACCAAGAAGCCACTGCCTCTGGCCGACAAATCAAGTTGTATTTTCCCCTCCTCTCCTTAGAAGTCCAGCACGTTCCAGGAATTCAATTACATATAATGGCCCTCACTCAATAGCAGTGGATGCCAGAGGCAAAAGGTTTTTGGATGTTGCAAATAATGGATGAAATAAGGCCATTTCCCAGATACAACAGCAACTGGCATCTGATGAGTCTCCTCAAACTGCTCTACTCTGGAAATGGCCAAACAGATGTCACTGGTCAGAAGGACTCGTACCTCTCAGGGAAAAAAACTCCAGGGGGCTTTGCTGCAGGAAAGGACTTTCCCTCAACTCCTAGAGCAGATTTTGAGAGCCCTTGTCAGGGTCAGCCCACAGGAGGCGGCAATGGAGGGTCCCTAGTTTGTCGCACGAGTCCTACTTCAGCCTCAGGATCTCTTAAAGGCCACCAGAGAGTCTGCCTCTGGATCCTCACAGGGCGGACACTGTCAGGCCGAACTTTCAACGGACAAATTCAAATTTGAAGCCAGAGAACTCTGTCAACTTAACCCCGCCTCTCCCCCAACACGAGGTAAGGAAGGAAGGTACTGGGCCGAATCTTCCGTATGTGGAGACAGAGTTAATACCTGAGTTAACATCGTTCCCCCTGACTGGAGTATAAACTTGCCTTGTGTGCCCTGTCATCGCTGTGCCCAGCAGTTGGCACTGTGCCCTGCACACAGCACGCGCTTACTGAAGGCCATGGAAGGAAAACACCTGGCTAATACTGCCCATTATGGGGTTTGATGAGTGTTAAATCTATAATCAAGAGTGAAAGCTACTCTGCTAGGAAATGGAGGCCCATGGCGATGGACACAGACCTCCAGAAACACTGCAGGATGTGGGAGCCATGGTGCCCAGAGCTGGCTTAGCACCCTTCCTCTTCTCTGAGGCCCATCCATTATTTTGAGAGACTCTTCCTGATGAGGCCCAGTCTGTGGATGTGAGTCTCTGGGAAGGGGATCGAAAGTGGTCTCACTGGATCCCATCGTGGCACCACGGTGCAGGTGCACAGTTACCAGGCGAGCCGGGGAGCCCATCTTTTCTCTCGGGATTGTCGGATGTGGTTTGTTGTCTTCCACTGGGGTTTCAAAGCAGGGAATGGTGTGCTTGGACGTGCAGGGTTCACTACTACAGTGTAAAGACCTCAGTTCCTCACCACCTTCTAAGGTCCTATCAACACACTTTCCGCTTGCCCTTAAAGCAGAGTATTTTCACTGGGGCTGTACTCTACGACGAACAACGCAGAAGCCCCATTTTAGAAAACACTCATTCAGCCAAAGATGGCAGTACATCCTGCCAGCCTGGGAAGAGATCACATCTACCACGTCACTCTCCGGACTAGGGGACTCCTGGAGACCACGGCAGAGTTTAGGATTTGCTCAAAAAGCTGGGCCGATGAAAACATTCAAGAAAACATATGGCTGATGGCATCCATTTTTAAATGTAGCTCTCTTTACAGAAAAAGAAAGCTTCCTCCTAAGGACCTTATAGGCTGAAGCTATATTTGCCTGCTTCTTCCTCTACAACACCTGTCTGTGGGCTTGCCTTCCGCATGAGTGGGGTTAACTCCGTGAAAACAAAATGCCTCTATTCTACCAGCAGAAGCCAGGATTTATGGGAAGGAAAGGTCTACGTTCTACGTCTAGGAAAGGAAACAAGGCTGTATTTCATCACCTCCTAGCTGGTACTTACGGGCAATTTTCTGCACCATTTTGGCAGCTATGGAAAATTAGTAAAAGGGCAGAAAAACAGGCAAAAACAAAAAACAAAGATGACAATGCAAGAAAAATACATGGCAACCAAAGGATAAGTGCTAAGCACAACGCGGGGGTTTCACACAGGCTGGGGTGTTAACGGAGATGGGAAAGGCGGATTTACAAAGGGATACGCCATTTGCAAACGAGGGGACAAACACTAATGACCGGAAGTATGAGTAACACAGATACGTAAAGATTTAGCCTTCCTCAGAGGCATGCAATGTGAACACTTCCAAGCCTTGACTATAGCGTTCTGGGCTCAGGTGGGTTTAGGCCGGTGGTTAACTGAATAGAGCCAAGAACCCTCTGGTGGTATCTCGACCCAGCAGAAGCAATGGAGGCCTTCGTGCACGAGACTCTTAAGAGCGACCCTGCAGCAGATCAGCACGGATGCACTTACCAGACACTCCGTGACCACCCTCTGATCCGCCCAGCCACAGAAGGCCTCTGGGCCGGCCCGATACTACAGGGTGACAGCAACTCTCAAAAGCACCATCTCTGCGGCAGCTGCTGGCCGCATTTAGCCTGACAGGAGACAGAGCTCATGTCCAGGTTTGGTGTCTCCAGGGACCTGCACGGGCTCCACTCCAGAGGCTGCCTAAGGGCCCTGGGGCAGCTGGGCCAGGGTCACGAGTTGCTTACGGCACTCTTCTGGCAAAGCAATCACCGGTATAGAGCTGGGCCTGCGCGGCGTGCCACTGTCTTAGCAAGGTGACCTTCGAGGCTGGAGGGGGGCCGGCGGTGGCCTGGCAAGCCTCCGGGCCTTCATTTCCTTGTCCTACTGCCGTGGGGCTTTGGTTTTGCACACACAACACACACGGATCCTAACAGCGGGCAAAAACGGAGCGACCCTTACCTCATTTAAACCCGGAGTGATAGTCGGTGCAGCAATAAAAACAACAAAAGGAGCGAACTCTGCAGTCCTCAGGACCTTCAGTGCCTGTGTACAAAGCAAAAACTGGGACTTAGAAATCACGAGTGCAGCATTCAACAGAGTCTGGAAGAAATCACACAATGGAAAAAGCCCTTGATTCAAAGTTTTGGCAGGGGATTATTCAATTCGCCAGCTTTATAAGTGACTTCTGTTACTCCTTTTCTTCCAAAGGATGGAGCACAGCCATCAGCAAATAAAAGGTGACAAACCGGATGTTTTTGAGAACAAATCTAATGAATCACTAGGACTGACTTTTCTTCAGCTACGTCACCAACTGGTTATGTTGGTTAAGATTCATTTAAACCTAGCTACTAGTTGTAGCCTGACTTTGTAGTTGATGGGAAATGTGTTTTGGGGTAGGCCTGGCGCAGCGGGCTGGCTCCGCCTCTGAGCTACAGCCCACTTCACCGCGTTTCAATCTTCGAACTGCTAACAAGGCTAGTGAGTCCCCACCACTGTCACTGTGATGCCGTGTTCATGCTTATGGGGCCTTCTGAGTTGCCCTGATGCAAGCACCCCACGGGGCTCACAGGGAAGGGAGACCTTGTCCGGGGCTGGAGTCCAGAGCCACTAAATGAGCTCCGTAGCTGTGGGTAACTGGTAGACCCGCAGGAAAATGCCGCGCTAGAGGGAGAGGGGCCCCTGAGGCTGGTGCAGTTCCCTTCAGAGGCATAAAACGTGTTGAACGGTGCAAGCCACCAGTTTGTGCAGACGCACTGCCAAGCTGGCATCCCACGCTCTAGGAGTCGTTTCTGATAAGGGATTCCTCATCAGCTCCTCCCCGGTGGGAACGTGACCCTGCTATGGGCTGTGGACTCCCCTGCATGGGACAAAACTCCAGTATATGCGGGCACACAGTTCACAAGTGAATTGATTTGTACACACCATGGCGAAGAGCATCTTGCTGTCCTTCATCTGAGCATTTAACATGCGTGCTCCACTAACCGCATATTTGGTTTTCTAGATGGTCTTTTGGTCGTTTGCTTTGCTGTGTTCCTACTCTGTCCTCTTTTGCCTGGTTTGCTTGTAGTAGCATTGAGACCGGTCACTCTGCCTCTGTACTAAAAGCCTTCCGGCAAGGCAAATCCCTTCATATTGCTCCTCTATGCTAAACCCCTTCCACAGCTCCGTCTCGGCCTTGCGGTAAAACTTACACTCGTTAGCATGAATGCCGGATCCGTCTGTCCTGAGCTGGCCTGTGCTTATCTCAGTCTCTCTCTGCTGCTTCCCCCTCCGCCAACTGGCCTTGCGGAACCACTTCCGGTTTCAGAAAGGGCCACACTCTCTCTGCCTGGACGCTCCGTCCCCATTCTCCCTTTGGTGTGGCCGAGTGATCCATGAACACCTGGCACCGGTGTTCTTTTGTCGGCAAAGTCCTCTGTGAGCTCTGAGCCAGGCCGGGTGCCCCTCCCGTGGGACCCAGGATGCCGTGTATCAAGTTCCCAGATACTGGAGGGTGAGCTTGTGGGCAGTGGGGGGTGTCTTGTTCAGTCATCTGCCTCATGCCCTGTATGGCAGCCGGCATAGATGGGCTTTATGATACAATGAAAATGGAAAAGCAGCACAGAGAATTGGCAGAAAACGTTTGACCAGTGGGCACTGTGCTTGGTGGCCGAAGGAAACCTCCTGGCCTCTGACTATGTGGGCCTGTGAGAGACCAATGGGGATCATATAGGTTTAGTGCAAGGTTCAGTTTCACTGGGACTGGGTTTCTGAATCCCAGCTACACAGGATCTCCTTGTGGGTGAAGGGGGCCTGGCACATGGTTTCTGCTGCCATGTCAAAGTGCTTCAATTGTGGACGTCACGTTCCCTTTGGGAGAAAGGTCTTCGGGCCTGCCTACACTCACTTTTGACAGAGGTAATTGGCAAGTTCTCTGCCAACGCTTTTGTGATTGGAGACTTTCGTAAGGAATAGACATCACGGAAAAGTCCATATATAGCTCAACTGAGCTTAACAGGGATCTTCCTTTGGAAATCTCCTTTCTGTGACTATAATTTTGGGCCTCTTTTTCTGCCCTTCCTGGACTCATAAATCAGGAGGCTACAGGGCCAGCTGAGACAGAAGGTTTCCTCGTCCACCCCCAGCCAGCTTCTGGGCAACTGAGATGGGACGACATCCCAGTCTACGGTTCCTACCCCTGCTTCTGTCCCCGAAGCGACTCCACACGCCAGGTGGAGACTCGATGCCGAATGACACCCCAGGCGTGAAACGGCCTTTTCTCTGCTCAGCGACCCCAGCCGGATGGCCACCCAATTCTCTAAATATTTTAAGTCCTGGCCTGCAATTGTTTTTGGAACACCAGAAAACCTACTCCTGGGCAACCATTAGCTCCCCGCAGATCGCCCTTCTCTGGGGGCACGCACGCCCTTTGCCTTTATCCATCCAGACATGAAAGTCATTCCGCACTTACTGCCCGCTGCTCTCGTGTCTACGAATCACGTTCTATTCCGTTAGCAGCTAATTCCAAGGAAAGAACTGGCATGCTTCTAGCAGATGAGTACGTGATCTACAACATTCCCCTTTCTGTCCTGCTCGCCAGAAGTTCAGAGCCAAACTGCATGCTGATCACAGTAAACTACAGTGGCCTTTTTATGGCTTTGGTTTTCGATTTTGATACTAGGTTACTTTCTTTTCTTCTGTCATTAAATTTTCAAAAATGAAAAGACCCCCTCAAATCCTGAGATTTTCTTGCCCAGTAGCCCTCATGTCTTCAGCAAGGTCACTGCACATTTCCTCAGTTGTCCCCCAACAGCTCTACTTATGGGGCTCAAGCGCATGCCTTTTTTGGGGTGTGTGTGTGTGTGTGTGTGTGCGTGCGCGCGCGCGTGCATGCAATCTCTGCTTGCCTGGGGTTTAGGGTCACTTCAGGGACAGTAATTAGAATGGCTTCACGAGGATTCCCTCCCCTCAGGCTGTTAACAGGGGACTTCAAGAGGTCTCTAAAACCCTCTTCCTTTCTAACTGAAGACGAGACACAAGTTTGTCAGTATTTATGGGCAAATATTTCTTTCTGAATCCTGGAGATGTGGGGGAGTCTAGAAAGGTCACTGAGCTAAAGCAACATTAGGCTTAACATTTAAAGTTAAGTCTTGAGTTCTCTTCTGTGGAGACACAAACTAATTTTATGGCTCCGATATGGCTGACAGTTGATCCCAGGTTACCACCCATAAGGAGTGAAAATGGATTTAACCAAGTATCTAAGATGCAGGTATCTTTAAGTAGTATCTGCTTTGCAAACTTAAAAAGTATATAAGGGCAAGTGTCTGAGTCATTCTGTACAAAAATATAAGGGTTTAAGGAAGAGCACTATGACCCCAGAGATAATCTTTCACAAAACGGCCCCTAGTTCAGAACCTGGCTCTTGTTTTGAAGTACAGATTCTTAACAAGACCATGGCTACCCCTTGCTGACAACCTTCCCTCTATGGGCAAAAGCCAAGTAACAAAGAGTCTCCTACCATTAACTTTTTGATGCAGCAAATGGATAAACTGGAATAAAATTAAAATCTAAAACCACCTCAGTAGGTTTTGGTGATATGCTGCTGTTATCACAGTTGCAGCTTTAGGGACATAGATGATCTTCTGGGCCATAGCTTCATTTTTAAAAAAAATTTTTAAAAAATGTTTATTTTGGAGAGAGAGAGAGAGAGAGAGACAGACAGTGTGTGTGTGTGTGTGTGTGTGTGTGTGAGTGAGTGGGTGAGGGGAAGAGGGCGATGGAGATACAGAATCTAAAGCAGGCTCCGAGCTGTCAGCACAGAACCCAATGTGGTGCTTGAGTTCATGAACCATGAGTCACGACCTGAGCCGAAGTGGGAGGGTTAACTGACTGAACCACCCAAATGCCCCTCTATAGCTTCATTTCCATGAAAAAGAAGTTCTATGATTTTTCCTCAGGTTTGACTGCCTTATTGGTTTTTCTAAACATTAAAAAAAAAAAAAAGATTTAAGTCCTATGACTACATGTAAGATAGACCAGCTTCAGGATTCCCAGGGTCCCTTCCTCCAGGATGGAACAGTGGAAGGAGGCAGGGGGCAGTTGTAAAAACAAACAAACAAAAAAACCCGAAGCCCCAACCAACACTGCCCAAAACTCAAACCTCACTCTTGGTTGTAAAACTTCGGTTGAGTTACTCCTTGGTTCTCATCTGCAAACGAGGACATGGATACCTCTGTCTCGGGGTTCCAAGGATTAGGGAAAGAGTACTTGTGCTTGCAGAATACACAGCACTATAGGAACACACCCGTTCTCGTTTTAAAAGAAGCCAGGTTGCTAGTTTGCTTCTAGTGCAGTCTTCTTAACTGCGGCCCTCTAGGTTTGAAGCTGGACCATAACGTCTTCATGTATAATATTAGACATGTGTTCAATTTGGTCTAAGCTGTCTAAAATAAGCTAAGAGAGGGGCGCCTGGGTGGTTCAGTTGGTTAAGTGTCCAACTTTGGCTCAAGTCATGATGTTGCAGTTCGCTTCGGGCTCTGTGCTGAGAGCTCAGAGCCTGGAGCCTGCTTTGGATTCTGTGTCTCCCTTTTCTCTCTCTCTCTCTGTACCTCCTGTGTTCACACTGTCTCTCTCTCTCTCTTGAAAATAAACAGTAAAAAATTTTTGAAAGAAATAAGCTAAGAGAGCACGAAATAAAAGACCCAAACGCAATGAGCTGAATGCCAGTGTTAGGTGGTCTCCCTACGGTCCACAAGTCAGCAGTGGCAGGCGTGAGCCACGTGGCATTTCTGCCACTGGGGAGTTTTTGATGTAAACCGAGGGACTCATTTCATCCTCAACAGCTTCTTATTTGTATTCTTAGCTCTGACACAACGCTTGCAAGACAAGAAGTGCTTCATACAAGCTGGTAGCATCCAGCTGTCTGAGATCTAATAGTGGGGAATCAGGCTGGGCAGGAAAGGACGAGGGGAAAGGCATCTTAAGGCCAGAGCCTGCTGGAGCTGGTCGTCCTGAAGGCAGGGTGCCAGTCTTGCCCAGCCAGGGGAGAGTGGGCCGAAGGCAGGGAAGCCTTAGGGCGGAGCCCTGTGGGTGTGGAGCCCGCGGGCATCCGCGGCTGTGCCGTCGAGCGCACAGTCCACATGGGAGCAGGACCGAGCTCGAGTCCAGGGCGGCGCAGCGTGACCCTGGGTAGCCGAGCTGGGACCAGCATGGTTGACCAGACCCACGAGAGGAGCGGGGCCTGGCCTATCAATCCCCATTCCCAGCCTTGGGGGTGGGTGGCTCTGAGAGACCCTCGTTCTGAGGCAGGGACACAGGAACACACGAGCTCATCCAGCAGTCAGGGGAGCAGGCGAGCGCCCTGCCTGGGGTGCAGGGCACTCCGGTGTCCATGCCACTTGTCCAAATGGCTGCTGTGGATGTCCCAATAGGGACGAGAGTGTCTCCCGCTCAGCAGCATGTGACCCAGCGAGGGCACAGGGAGAGCCAGGCGCTAGGAGGAGAGTGGTGTGGCACAGCAGCCGCTGAGGCAGAAAGCCCTTGAACGTGGACTTAGGTCACGCAGAGGGGGTCTGAGATGCTGTGGAGCCAGAGACATTGCTAGAGACATTACCACCGGCAGAAAACGACATTCAGGTGAAGACCAGTGTGGGACCCAAGGACGGGATGCCGAAGACCACGACCAGGATGGAGACTGCCTCCAGCCACCCCCGCAGCCAGAAGACTTTTGCAACTACTAGTAAGGAGGGAGTTGTAGTTAAGCAGAGATCACAGTGTGTTACCATCACTCACTTCGTTCTCTACAGGTCCAAGCTCACCGTCAAGTCTACCGTATAGTGTTCACTGTGCTGCTGCTTTCCTCCCCAGCCCCTTAACCAGATTCTGAGTTCAAGAACCCCATCAACTTCTGTGAAATGGAAACGGGTGCAGCCACTGGCCACGACGTCATGGTCTTGGGGGCCAAGTAACTGCGCTGTCAGGCCTTGGGTCACACAGACGCTGCTGACCCAGCTGCCGTCCTCCTTCGGGCATGGCTAGGGGACCAAGTCTCATATTGTAGCCCTTAAACAGGGGCGGTCCCTGCCTGGGATAGCCAGGTAAGCCTGGTAAAATGGAGCCTGCCTGAGGGGAGCTGGTCTACCGTGTCGGTAGGTGGTATATGGATTCCTGAATATAAGCGATAGGGATTTGGGGGCACAGATCGACCTTAGAAATGGAGGCCCAGGACTCACACAGGGACCCACAGGCCTCTCCTGTAACCTGCCCCGATGTCTTCAACACCCTTCCTACTGGGCTTGAGGTCCTGCTTATGCTTGCTTTGTCCTCGGAGATGAAAAAATAGCTTGTCAGTGTTTTTGTGTTTTTTTTTTAAAGTAATCTCTACACCCAACATGTGGCTCAAACTCATAGCCAAGAGTTGGATGCTCTGCTGACTGAGCCAGCCGGGTGCCCCCGCCTGTCAGTGTTTTTGATGGAAGGCCTTTCTTGTATGTTTGCTTTTCTGTCTTGCATGTTTGATGTGTGGCTATCTCCTTCTCAAGCTGAATAATTCCCATTGCTTCTAGCTTCGGACTTCTCTACAGATTATCCAGTCACTCCTGTGTCTGGCTCCGAGTCCTTCCAACCTCTCCATATCCCTCCTGGCTCCAGCCTGGGCTTGGGCATCATCTTCAGTAAAGAGACAGTGGAGGCTGAGAGCCACCCTAGGTCTCCCACCTTGCTCCACCTGGCACTCCCTGGGCTCACTCATGCTTGCTTTCCTAAAGCCAGTGCTGCATTTCAGACCCTGACCCAGGCCCCAGGATCAGAGTTCCTTGATGGTGATTAACAGAAGACACCAGGAGAGGTTCTGATGGTCCCGTGTGAGCTGTCCTGAGAGAGAAAAGGTGGCTGTCGTGATAACAAAGTGCCCAAGTCTCATCCTGAGGTCAGATTATTGTAGAATTTCTGGCAGCACAGACCCAATCGGATACTTGCATTGAGCTTCTGAGCATAATGAGTCTCGTAAGAGCATACTATTGCTTCTTAAATATGCGGTAAGTGCACCGAGCTCAATGAACAAACACATTCTAGACTGTCAGCCCGGGATGCCTGCATTACTGATACTCTCCTGTAATTTGTTACGTTGTTATGGGACCCACGCCTTTCTGATGGCGCTTCTGAGTTTAGAACCTGAGCGTAGCATGCAAGCAAGAGGACTGGGGGCGGGGGTGTAGTGGGAAGGGCGTGTGGCCGGGTGTTACCTGAGGCTCCACGTCCAGTATTGCAATCAGGCCTTGCTCATGGATCTTCCGGATGGTCTCCAGTTTTGTCCCATACATCGCATCCTCATGGCTGCCATACTCCAAGTACTCGTTATTAGAGATGTCTTGCATCATTTGGTCATGAGATACAAAGTAATAATTCTTTCCATTTTCTTCATCTTTCTTTGGAGGTCTGGTTGTATCTGCAAAGAAAGTCACATATCAAGAGAGGCTCAAAAGGCTGAGCTCATGAGCTGATGCTCCCAATGGACCTGCCCAAGCCCAGTGGCTTCTTGAAAGCTGTGGATTCTTCAGTGTATGTCTCAGGCCACCTTCCCGCCCTCAATAGCTTTGCAGAACTAAATGCTCTACACCATGTTTATCTCTGCAGCATCCACCCACAGAAGCTGGTTAGTTGTTTGGTCTGGTGAATCTTTCAGTGTTTAGAGGAGATTCACTTCATCCCTTCATGGGTCTCTCTACAGGACAGAGACCCTGAATGACGCTGATTAACACAGCTCACTGTATGCCTTACTACAGTTAGTTCTTAAGCAGAAGGAAAAAGAATTAAAAACATGAAAAACCACCTATTGTTATTTAAGTTTAAATAAACTAAAATTAAAATGTCAGTTCCTCAGTCTCGCTAGCCACATTCGGGTTCAGTAGCCACTAGCCACATGTGGCTAATGGCTACTGTAATGGACAGTACAGATATTGAAAATTGTCACTATCAGAGAAAAGTTCCATTGGAAAGTGCTGGTCTACTTGCAAAACGAGAATGTTATAATACAGCAAAAGGTGTACTACATTGAGAATCCAATGACCTTGGCCAGATGTGGCCATAATAGTAAAGACCTACACCATGAGTTGGCCTATGAGTCAAAGATGGCCTTTTTTTTTTTTAAATTTAAAAAAAAATTTTTTTTTATGTTTGTTTTTGAGAGAGAGAGACAGCATGCACAGGGGAGGGTCAGAGAGAGAGGGAGACACAGAACCTGAAGCAGGCTCCAGGCTCGAACCCATGAACCGCGAGATCATGACCTGAGCCGAAATCGGACGCCTAACCGACTGAGCCACCACCCAGGTGCCCCTAGCCTGCTTTTGTAAATAAAGTTTTATTGGAAAACATCTAGGCCCATTTGTTTACATATTGTCTATGGCTGCTTTTGTGCGATAACGGCAGAGTTGAGTGGTTGTGACAGAGACCATATGGCCATCCACGCCTCAAATATTTACTGTCTAGTCCTTTATAGAAAAGGTTTGCTGACACCTGACCTAAGAGAACATGTACTAAAATGTTGGCCAGTAAGTCCTAGTTCCACGGGAGACTGACAGGACCAGTGTTCTGCAGAACAGTTTAGAAAATGTCTTTCTAGACACGTCATGAACACTGATTTAAATCTTCCTTCCTTCCACTTCTTTTTCCCTTTCTTCTCTCCTTGTTTTCTTTCTTTCCTTCCTCCCTCTTTCCTTCTCCCTCCCTTTCTTTCAGTTTCCTTTTTGGACAAGGACAAACTTTATGGTCCCCTTTGCTGTGTGCATGGGTCCAAACCCACGGGGAACTGCCCCTCTCTCCTGCCCCAACTGGACTATTAGAACTTCCAAGTGCTCATGGATGTCCACATGTAGAGGTTTTAAGGAACTCTTTCTCTAGGCACATAAAAAGTGGAAGAGATGGCATCGTGTGTTGATATGCTGTACTATCCTTAGTCAGCTCAGTAGGTAAACATATGCTACATACAACACATTCAGGGTCAAATATTTGAGAGAGGGACTTCATGACTCACATGACTGAGGCTGGCAATGGTATGCTTCAAAACCAAGATAGTTAACTGGCCATTTAATAACATGGACGTTCAATTGTTATATGACCAAGGAGAAACGAAATGTTAGTTAAGCTTGCTGTACTCCTGATCCAGACATAAGGAGAATTAAAAGAACATTTCAAAGTGTTTTACTAAAAATCCCAGAGGTATCAACTGAAATGGTATTTGATGAATTTCCTTTTTTGTGTAAACCAGACAGGGTTCTAGAAGGAGGCTGTGCTCTTATGAAGCCTCACGGCTCCCCGGGGCATAGAGAAAACCGTGAGTGGTGTCGACCTGGCTTCAGGAAGGCAACGGAAGACCCTTCTGGGTAGCGCCAATCTTCCCATTTTCTCTTTTTGCTCTTATAACTCATTCCCCTTCAGTCCTTCCCACCTTGAACAAAACTCTATCTGCCAGAAAGCTTCTGGGATTCGAACTGTAAACTCTGGAATAACAATGCTACAAACAGTGATAGCAGTAACATGGCTACTCTTTATCCAGTATTTGTTAGTGCTTCCTGATCTCAAATATTCTTTACATTCCTGGAATTACTTCATCTTACAGTTGAGGAGACAGGGAGGGCAAGAAGCTGAGGGTGAGATAGAGAAAATAAAGGGAATAAAAATATTACAGATTTTAAATTCTTTATAAGAACCACCTAATGGTACACTGGCTTTTCAAAAGTGACGAAAGTCAATAACTTAGGTACGTTTCTGGAGAATATTGTTCTATCAAAGAACACTACGCTATCAGATCTATTTTTCCGAAGGAGAATTCATTTGAGTCATGTTTATGCCATACTGCTGGGAAAATCAGGCCACAAACGGAATGGATCAGCCTAATTTTGTTAAAAAACAATAATGAGAAACAAATCACACGCTCCCTACGTTTGCCCTGAGAGAAGCTTGGGGGAGTCTACAATAGAATGTTTACGGCACTACTACTGGGCAAGTGTGGTCTCGGGATTACTGTTAACTCATTTTCTTCTTTGTTCTGCTTTGGATCTTCCAAATTTCCCCTAACGAGTAGTTACAGCTTATGTAATAGAAAAAAAAAAATATGTCAACTCCAGTGTTTAAAAAGTACTAGGAACAGTATACTTAAAAGAGAGTGAGACATAGCTTACGTGGAATAGGGTACGCAAACCGGTCTGGGTGCTTTGTGATGAGAGTGTTTTTTATGTGTCTTCTCCCAACACCGTGTGCACCTAGGTCATTAAAAAAAAAAAAAAAAAAAAAAAAGTGAAATTGACAATTGTTAGTAACATTTGCAAAATGTGTTCAAGTTGAGACTAAGAAAGTTACTTGTACAGTCAAACTTACCTAATAAGACTAGTGTTTTCCTTTTGAATGCTGGCAGTTTTACTACTTCTTCATATGTAACGAGATCTAATTGATCGAACACTACAATGCAAAGATTTAGAAGAAAGGTAAATCTACAGGAGTATTTCATGTACATCAATTATGATTTTACTGGCAGAACTAAAGTTATAGTAAAACCGTGTCTTAAAAAAAATAGGAGTCCAACTTATGGTCTGAGCTTACAAGTAATTTTAGTCCTATAACCTTTTGGGAGAAAATTTCATTTTTAAGCCCATGAAAATGCACTTTAGAACCAGGGGCATCCAAAGATATGCTGAGCACATGCATAAAAGTCCAGTTCTAAGAGATACTGCATATCTTGTCATGCAGTATCCAACAAGTCATACAAATTCATTCAAAACCACATGCTGTTCATATTTTTGCAATTCTAAGAAATCAGCAATACTAAAAAGAAAAAGTCTGCAGACACTGACCAACATGAATATAGCATGAATGCAACTAAAGTTAACCAAGAAAGAGGCCACTAGATTGTTTCTAGGGATGGATGAGAGATGCATGGACAGCTGATCTTTAACTTCATGCTTCTTTCAACAGAGGTGCTGAAGGTAGCATGCTAAGATTCTTTCAAAGTCAAGTTCTGTAACGATGATTTCACAGGCTTTTGAGATGAGCATTTCCCCAGTTTTACTGTAACCCAGCTCTCCATTCAATGGAGAGAGTCTTGGGTATGTTAAGTAGGGGAACATGCTTCCCTGGGCCCCAAACTTTGTCAGTCCACAAATGGTCGGTCAGGATGGACGGGACGGAAAGAATCATGAAGCAGAGTCTGAGCTTGGAAACCTTTGCAAAAGGGGAGGTCTCTAATCATTACAGACTGAGAAGAAACACTTATTTTTTGGAAACCTGCCTCTTAACAGAACTGTTACCAAAACTTTCCCGAGAGGATGACTATTCCTGTTGAAGTTCAAGGTAGTCCGATTCTCACACACATTTGAAAATCCTCACAAAAAAGCTGAAATCATGAGTCTGTGTTTCCTGTAATGCTTTTCTGCATGGTAATCCTGCAGTGTTGTCAGGCACACACTGAAGTTTCTTTTTTAAAGAATACTGAATAAGTTCTAGATTTCAGAGGGGTTGAAATAAATTCAATAAAACTGATGCCATGGTATGATAAAGGGATCTGGGATACTTCAGTCAATCGCTAAGAGAAACTTCTGCTCCATGAAACAATACGGCCAAATACTTTTGGCTCTCAGCTCAGTCCTTAACATCTGTGATCTTCCCAGTAGCAAAGAACCTTAAAATGCAAAATAGGATACTCTGGAATGCAACAGATCAAACAAAGGAACAAAAGTATCATTCCCAAACTACTAAAAAAAAAAGAAAAAAGATAAAAGAAAAAAAGAAATACAATGTGTTAAAATAAGGGTTAGTGCATGTTAATGGGTATCTGTGCATTTGTTTGCTTTTGATACCTTGATTCCGTAAAGGTCAACTCAACGTCTTTAATTCTCTGACAATGGCTAAACACCAAGAAATGCTCCCTGTGTCTAGAATGGCAGCCTCCCCAGATGAAAACAAGCACGAGGTTGTGTGCGTGCTGGAGTTGGTCAGTCATGCTGCAGTGGAGTGTCAGAGTTGCAAAAATAAGAGCAGGAGTGCTTACGGCATTGCTTTTTATACCCGCTGCCCTGGGAGTGAGGTTTCCATCGAGAAAAAGGATACTTAGGAAAGAGGTACATCACCAAGCGGAGAGATTTTAATACAGAAAAATAATCAAGCATCTCACGAAAGAGCAAGATGATGAAGGCACAGGCGTTCTGAATGGCATCTGCATCCCTTTCCTTTCACAGAGCCCTGACTGCAATCCTACCCACTTAAGACTGGTCATTTTTTTTTTTTTTTTAACAAAACACGTAAGAATGAGTTAGATATGAACAATCGACAGCACAAACAAATGAACAGGCATGTTACACGTCAATATCTTAAGCATACGTGAGTAGCATGAAGAGGTTACTCTGGTCTAAATGAAATCACCACATGGTCATAGGATTGAGAAATAATAAAAGAGGATATTTAAAAATAAGACATACAAAGAATATAAGAACACTTAGACTGAACTTTTTGAAAGTTTTATGTCGTTTGTGGATTTAAAAAAAAAAGGACTTAATGAAAGAAACCTTCAAAAACAAAGAGGCATAGTCACTCAACAGGTTACTTACATGCACAGAGGCCATTGGGAGTAAGACAGCATGAAAAATGTACAGGGGTCATTGAAATATGGCTTTTAATATATTAGTAAAATAAAAGTATAATATGCACAAAAGAAACCTTTACCATGCAATATTCTAAACACGAGGCAAATAAATCACATTAAGAAACAAACTGATTTTAATAAAAATTCAACAATATCCTTATATAAAAGCCAGTGGGTTTTCTATACTAGCATATGCATGGAAATCTTGTCTAAGAATAGGTACAAGACATAGTCTTCGGGAAGTGTACGTGTGGAAGCCTTTTGCTCTTTTTGTACCTCCCTGTGCTGTTTGCAGTTTCTCATCACAGATGCCTGTTACTTTTATTAAAAAAAAAAAAAAGTCAACAGGGCAGTGAGATGATGGGCCACTTTTTGTTGTCTTAAGAGTTCTCTGTATCAAAGAGAAAAAAGTCATAGTTTTTAAAAACTATTCAACTACTAATTTGTGGGCCGAGGCACAATTTAAACACACCAATGAATGGTATTATAGGAACCCTCTGGGTTCATGTGTACGTATGTAAATAGAGTATCTCAGGATATTGACATACCATTGCTTAGGGCTCTAATAGTTTAAAAAAAAAAAAAAAACACCTCCATTAATAAAGGCTTTTCCTCCCTTCAAGTTTACATTAGTAACTTGATCTTTAAACTGATTTTGGAAGTCCTAGGGCTGAGGAATCTCAGTGCCTCAAGAGTATGCTATAGCAGCCTGACAATGCTTTTTGCATCAAATTTTTGTGGCTAAAAATCTTTTATGCATTGCAGAAAATGCTATTTGCTGTAAACACTACACACACCATAATCAAATCTATTCCCAAGGCTTCAGAAATACTGTCTGACATAGTTTGCTCCTATTATCCTGAGTTCCTGGTAAGCGACTCAATATTCACGCCCCTTTTATGTGTTTAGGTAAGTATTTTCTAGTTGAATCTTTTCCATAAATAAGCCTTTAGCATCGATTCCTGGTCTCATTTGGAAAAACTACAAGCATATTCATATACTGCAAAAACCTCCAATTAGAAAAGGCCTTGCAGGCTGGTAGTGCTGGGCCGGGCACCTAACGCGTTTGGGTGCGTGGGCCTGGGCCAGGCAAGAATGGGGCAGAGGGATGATGGGTCCTAGAGATTAATTCTAGTATCATCATTGCCATTGGTTCTAGATACTGACAAAGTTCCCATCTTTCTTTTGATTACACATGTAAACAAGTTCAGAATTTGATGAGAAGGTCTGGATCCTGCCATCAACATATGCTGAATTCTCAGATTTGAAGCAGGAAACAAGACATATGGCCCTTATTTGAATTTACTGAGGACTATGGGAAGGACACCCCCCCCGCCCCCCTGCTCAGCTGTATTCTACAATCAACTTTTGAAAAAGCCAGAAAAATCCTTCAGAAATATAGTTTGACTTGTGGCTCATGAGCCCATTTGGCTAGTACTTGGCATTAAAGAATATGTTTCAAAGTTGTCAAAGCATCTGCCATACTGGTGGATTTCAACAGTATTTCTTTCTCTTTTTCACATCAATTCTTATATAGGCAATGCTGCATATTAGGATGGCCTTCCATCGTGGCTAAAAGCAGAATAGCTGATAAAATACTGGACTTTCCCAACAATTTCATTTTTTGTCAAGTACAGGTAACCACTACATAAATGGTTCTGGACTTTGTAATGGACAAAATGGAAGGGTTGCTCGGTGAAGGGGAAGAAACCTGAAGAGGTGGTGGCAGAAAGGCCTCGCTAGACAGCACGCTTCAGAAAGTCCAAGAAAAAAGCCTGGACGTCTTCTCCGGAGCAGAAAAACCCAGAGGGGAGATCATGAGGGGTGATTTGGGGCAGGGGGCGGGGGTGGGGAATCCCAGCAATACATTCTGACTAGACAATCACAAACACACCTAAACACAAGTTTCTACCAGGAAACCTGAGTGGCTCTACAAGGACCTCATAAGAAATTCACACTATCCATCAAAGGGCATGAAAAGACGGTCCCAAACTCAGTGACAAATACTGACACGTAGAAGGGATTGCGAGCGTGACGAGGAAGCTCTGAGGCCCAGAAGACCACTGCTTAGGAAAATGCTGAAGGGAACAAAAGAGTAGGGGAAGCTCTAAATTTCCCTTAGTTCTAAATCTATAAGAACTTAAGTCCGTGGTTTTGCACAGGAGGTTGTAATGTCCAAAGATGACAGAGAAAAAGCCACTGTATTCCGTCGCTATGAGGCTCTTGCTTTCTCTTGTCAGGTCCAGTAAGGAAAGAACTGGAGAGTCCCTGAATGTCAGATTTAGAAAGGATACCCTTCACTGACTAACCCAATTCCCTCATTTCCAGGCCCCCAGGAGCCAAGGGATTTGCCCAAGCTGCACGGTCACACAGGCATGCTAATGCAGGTTGCCTGTTAGCCTACAAGTGCGTTTATGGACCACTGAGCACCACCTGCGATGAAATCAGAGCAGGGATAGCGGTAGATCAGTCATACCTGTGGTTGAAGAATGAAAAAGTGGACTGTGGAAGGAGCGCCTGGGTGGCTCAGTCGGTTAAATGTGTGACTTTAAAAAAAAATTTTTTTTTTGAGTCTTTATTTTTGAGAGAGAGAGACAGAGTGCAAGTAGGGGAGAGGCACAGAATATGAAGCAGGCTCCAGGCCCTGAGCTCTCAGCACAGAGCCCGATGCGGGGTTCGAACTCATGAAACGCAAGTTTATGATGACCTGAGCCGAAGTCGGATGCCCAGCTGACTGAGCCACCCAGGTGCCCCAAATGTCCGACTCTTGACTTCGGCTCCGATCATGATCTCATGGATCATGGGTTTGAGCCTTGCATTGGGCTCTCCCCTGACAGTGCGGAGCCTGCTTGGGATTCTTTCTCTCTGCCCCTCCTCCACTCACGCTCTCTCTCTGAATAAATTTAAAAACAAACAAACAAACAAACAAACAAAAAAACCACTGGCTACCAGATTGGGTGCTGATTGTCTGACAAAATTCTTAAGTGAACGATTCAACAGATTCTTCATCAGAATTTAGAGATTCTAGTTTTCCAATCCAGGGGCTTATTTTCCCTCAGCTGAATTAAAGAATGTTGGCATATTGAATACTTATGACTATATGCCTTCTATTAGTACAGTATAAAGCTTGGGATGAATTAATAGCCTTAATGAGCCATTTCTTTGCTTTTCTAGGTTTAAAGTATAATGCCATCTAGATTTATACATCTTTTAAAATTATAAAACACACACATACACACACACACACATACACACACTCACACACACACAAATGTCAACACATCTTGTGAGCCTGTTAGAAGCTGATGGAAATAGAGGCACCTGGGAGGCTCAGTCGGTTACACATCCAACTCTTGGTTTTGGCTCAGGTCATGATCTTACGGTTCGGGAGTTCGAGCTCCATGTTGGGCTCAGTGCTGCTGGTGTGGAGCCTGCTTGGAATTCTCTCTCTCTGCCCCTCCCCTGCGCTCTCTCTCAAATAAATTAAAAAAAAAATCTTAAAAAAAAGGTGACAGAAATAAAGAGGACTTGGCAGTAACCACTGATACTTCGTGTTAAACAGCATTCTGCTGATACTACAGTGAACTTTTTCAAATAGTACTACTGAAGCCTGACAAACAACAGTTGCTAAATTGTGTTTAATTTGCTTTAAATATTTCTTCCCTTCATAAAACAAAAAAGGCCATTATTGGGACTAGTGCCCCGGCATGGTGAATAATCAGAGATGATATAGTTTAGTGGAATTAAAAATGGAGTATGATGTGGCCAATGTGAAAGGAATGAGTCCCCGTTTAACGGAACCATTTGAAATGAACCCGTGTGGCCACTCACATCCCTTCCACGTTAGGCAGTGTTTCAAAATGCTTACTTTTACTCGCTGATTATGAAATGAACAATTCAGAGTTTGCAAATCATTTCTCCTGGTGGATGCTAACAACATGTTATAACATTCTACAGACAGAAATGCGTTTCATATTTGGCCAAAACCTTATACTGTCCAATCGGGTATGCATGATTGCGTTTGATTTTTTTTTTTTTTTTTTTGTGGCCACCTGTATGAGTTTCGGAGTTATTTCTGAAACCTTGGGAACTAATCTAATGCCAACATTGGGGCTTGCAATGCCTCAGAACAAGTTCTTTATAAAAGGAGTCCTATTAAGAAGGTACTGGAAATAAGGAAATCTCACTCTTGTATTATCATCATGCATTTTTTTAGTTTAACTTACATTCTGTGAGGCTTCTTGGAATTCTACAGCCGTGACAGATCATGTTTTTTTTTGGGTATTCATTTCAGTGTTTAGCAAATAAGGGAATGTTTTGACTTAGGTTGAATGCAAATTTTCATAGAGACAGCGTGAAGGGAAGGCCAAGATAGTGTCCTTGGTCTTTTGGGAGCCAGAGAATAACTGTGGGGGAAGAAGCTAAGTCACAGAGACTGTCCGAACCGAGTTAGGATCCAGCAGCATTTGTGCTCTTTCCAACCAATCACCCTCTGCAGCACGGCTCTGGTAAGAGCACATCTTTGCCACAGGGCCATGTCTAAGGGCCAGAGAGGAGCCAGGAGGGAGGATATTTGCTCAAGATCCATCTCAGCAAGGAGGCAAGAATCCCGGTGACTCGGCAAACACTCGGGCTCTCATTTCTCAGGGGAGGACTTCATGTACTGGCTTCTTTTACTTCCCGAGGATATTATTACCAAATAGCATTTTCTTCCTATAAAGCAGAGCTCTGTAAGATATCTGGCAAATAACCAACAGAGTAATTGCAGGTAGGGCTTTCTTAAAGTTGTGCAAGCTGACGGAGATCTCATCTGGTGGAAATTTGGGGCAGAGAACTCTGAAGACTGAAGTGAGCTCTAACGGGCCTCAGTAACAGTCGCACTTTTCCCTACCTGCATTGTGCTTTGCCAAGTATTTATCTTTGTACTGCTTCTTTTTCTTGCCGAACCAGGTACAGCTGGCCTGCTGCTCCTGTTTGGTTTTCTCCATGGCGATGCAAGCAACTCGCCTAGTGCACAGAGAGGAAAAAAAAAAAAACTACCGTAAAGTTTCAAGTTGATAAAAGAAAAATCATCCATTTGAAGACTTTATACAAACCTGCATGAACATACTGCTCACAAACTTAAAAAAATTTTTTTTAAATGTTTGCTTTTGAGAGAAAGAGAAAACAGAGGATCTGAAGAAGGCTCTGCACTGCCATCCCGATGTGGGGCTTGAACTCACGAACTGTGAGATCATGACCTGAACCAAAACTGGACACTTGACTAAGCCACTCAGGTGCCCCACTGCTCATAAACTTTTCAAGATAAAGGTTGCTTTTTGGCTTTCATAATTTCATAGACAGGCTTTAAAAACACAGGCTTGGGGCGCCTGGATGGCTCTGTTGGTTGGGTGTCCAGCTCTTGGTTTTGGCTCAGGTCATGATCTCAACAGTTAGTGAGATCAAGCCCCGCATCAGGCTCCTTGCTGAGTGTAGTCTGCTTGGGATTCTCTCCCTCCCTCTCTCTCTGCCCCTTTCCCGATGATATGTTCTCTCTCTTATAACCCCCCCCCCCCAAAAAACAGAGGTTTCTAATAAAATGACATCACATTCCTTGACCATACACTGATAACACAGATGAGCAACCTAAACACATGGCTGTGACATCCAGTGGAACGAGCATGGGCTATTGCATTGAGGCAGGTCTGGTTGGAATCTTGGCTCTATCGCTCATGACCTTTCATCAGTTTAGTGTCAGGTGCTTTCCTGGGAAATTTGCATGCATCAGCTCATTTAACCTAACAACACATGCAACTGCACCACCCCTTTACAGATGAGGGGATCAAAGGGCTAGGAAGTTACATGATTTGCCCCAGATCACACAGCTTAGTCAGTGGGAGAGTGAGGACAGTCTGGTACCAGAGCCCAGGCTCTCGAGCAGTGCATTCTATTGGCAAGTTTCTTAGCATCTTAGATGGCTATTGTAAAGGATTAGAACAAAAAATGTAAATAATGTCCCCAGCATAGTGGTAGGCACAGTAGATGCTTAATAGATGGTACTATTACTACATGGTGATTCTAGCCTAAAAAGAAAACACTAATTAAATCCACAGAATTACATTCAGAGGGCGCCTGGGTGGCCCAGTCAGGTAAGTGCCTGACTCTTGATTTTGGCTCAGGTCGTGATCTCACAGTTCATGGGCTTGAGCCCTTTGTTGGGCTCCATGCTGACAGTGCAGAGCCTGCTTGGGATTATCTCTTTCTACCCCTCCCCTGTCATACATGCTCTCTCTCTCAAAATAAAATAAGAATTATAATCACAATTTTAATTTTGTTCTTTGTAATTATAGTGTTCAGCACAAATGTTGTTAAAAAGTTGCTCTCTTAGGTTTAGTCTAAGCAAATATTTGCCCTTCAGGATATTGCCACAGGTGGTTTTGCTTAACGACTTTGCTTCTCGGCCAACCAGGGGTCCCTGAGTGAGCCACATATAAGAAGAATCTAGGAGTGCCTGGTTGGCTCAGTCAGTGGAGTGTGTGACTCTGGATCTTGGGGTTCTGAGTTTGGGGGTTGCAAGTTTGAGCCCCGTGTTGGGTGTAGAGATTTACTTAAAATCTCTCAAAAAAAAAAAAAATCACTAAAAAAAAAATCCAAAATCTCCCTCAGAATGACAAGTGATTTTCCAATGAGGTTGTACTGATTTACACTCCCACCAGCAGTGTGTGAGAGTTCCTATTGTTCTATCTACCTCCTTATCAACACTTGGTATTATCAGTATTTAACTTTAGCCACCACAGTGGGCAAGTAAGGCAATAATGCTTTGAGTGTGTATTTCTCTGATTATTGAGATTGAGCACTTTTTCCTGTGTTTATTGGGTATTGGATTTCCTCTTCTGTAAAGTGTGTCTTTTGACAATTTTTCTTTCCAGTTGTCTGTCTTTTTCTCATTGATTTGTAGGAATTCTTTATATGGTCTGGATATTACACCTCAGTTAGTTGTATGTGTTGCAGATACCTCCATCCATCTTGTGGCATGCCTATTTACTCTTCCTATGGTATCTTATGATGAACATAACTTAGATTTACTTTCGTCAAATTTAGCCAACTCTTCCTTTGTGAAAAGTATTTTGACCTTTCCTTGTCCCTGAAGATATTTTTCAATATTACCTTCTCAAAGGTTTATAGTTTTGTTTTTCATATTCTGGCCTTTAATACACTTGAGCTGATTTTTATGTATGGTATAAAATTAGGAGCCCGATTTCTTTCTGGTCTTTTTCCCTAATGGATACTCAAATGTTCCAGCATGACTTACAGAAAAAAAACTATCCATTCCTCACTAGTGACTATGTGTGGGAGTGTTTTTGGGATTCTCTTCAATTGGGTCCATTTGAGCATCTCTACGCCCTTACCTTATTATCTCAATGACTACAGTTTTATTGTAAGTGTTGGTATCAGATGGAGTAAGGTCTCTCTCCTTATTCTTCTAGAAGAGTATCTTGTTTATTCCTGATTATGTGCATTTCCGTGAACCTTTTAAAATTAGGTCGCCAATTTCAAAATGGTTGAGATTGCATGGAATCAATGAATCAATCTGGGAGGAATAGAAATCTTTACAAGACTGAATCTTCTAGTTCATGAACAAAGTATATCTCTCCATTTGTTTAAGAATTCTTTAATGTCTTGGGGTACCTGGGTGGCTCAGTCAGTTAAGTATCCGACTCATGGTTTCAGCTCAGGTCATGATTTCACGGTTCGCGGGTTTGAGCCCCACATCGGGATCTGTGTTGATGGCGTGGAGCTTCTTGGGATTCTATCTCTTCACCTCTCTGCCCCTTACTTGCTTGTGCTCACTCTCTCTCTCTCTCTCTCAAAATAAATTATCTTAAAAAAAAAGAATTCTTTAATGTTTAATGTCTCAATAAATGTTATAATTCATCTTGTGTCTTGAACATCTTTGTTAGATTTGTTTGTAGGTTGTTGATTTGGGGAAAAAAAAAAAAAAAGATAGGGGCACCTGGGTGGCTCAGTCAGTTAAGCATCCAACTTTACCTCATGGCTGATGAGTTCAAGCCCTGTGTCAGGCTCTGTGCTGACAGCTCAGAGCCTGGAGCCTGTTTCAGATTCTGTGTCTCCCTCCTCTCTGCCCCTCCCCTGCTCATGCTCTCTCTCTCAAAATAAATAAACATTAAAAAAATTTTGTAATTTAAAAAATTTTCAAATATACACAAGAGTAGAAAATAATGAACCCCAAATACCTACAACCCAGCTTTAACATTTATTAACTCCTGACTTGTTTTATTCACAACCTATCCACCCTAAGATTATTGTGAAACAAATCCAAGTTTATATCATTTCCTCCTTAAATTCCTTCTAAATCTACATGTCCCTTCTCTCCTTTTCTGTCTTGCAATTTACTTGTTCCAGAAACTGGTTGTTTGTCCTGTAGCTTCCAAGTCTGGATTTTTCGGATTTCATCCCTGCGGTGTCTTCACCAAGTCCCTCTCTCTTTTGCATTTCCTGCAAATAGGTAATTAGATCTAGAGGTCTGATCGAATTTAACTTCTGTTTTTTAGAAAGAATACTTCATAGTATTAAGGTGATGTAGGCCGTGTTATATACAGCATGTAAAAATTTATTTTCTCTTTGTTGCTGGTAAATAGAAATAAATTAATTTCTGTATACTGCTTTTATACCAACCATCTTGCTGACCTCGCATATTAATTCTCATGGTGTATCTACAGATTCCTTTGAATTTCTACACACAGAATCGTACTACCTGCAATACTTTTTTCCCCTTCTAATACTGTAGGTTTGCTGTAGGTTTATTGTAGATGCTCTCAATCAGGTTAAGGAAGTTTCCTTCAATTCACAGTTTGTGAGAGTTTTAATCATGAGTGGATGTTAAATTTTACCAAATGCTTTTTCTGCACCTACTGATATGACCATGTGGATTTTCTTTAGGCTGTTAATACGGTCAATCGGCTTAATTGGTTTTCAAATGTTGAACCAGCTGTGCATTCCCGAAGTATAGACTCCCCTGGGTCGAGATGTATTATACTTATTACTGTGTTGCCGGATTCAGTTTGCTAATATTGTGCTGAGGACTTGTATATCTATGTTCATGAGGGAGTCTTGCCTGTAGCTTTCTTGAGTCACCTTTTGTGAATTTTGGTACCAGGGTCATGCTGGCATCATGAAATGAGTTGGGAACTGTGCTTTCTTCTTGAAAAGACTGTCCTCCATGTCTCTTACTCTCTCTTGTTCCTTGAGGGTTTTATTTTTATTTATTTTTGGTTAGGAGAAGGACGTGTCTTTAAAAAATATATTTATTTTTGAGAGAGAGTGTGCACCCGAGTGGGGAGGGGGCAGAGAGAGAAAGAGGGAGAGAGAGCATCCCAAGCTGGCTCCATAGTATCAGCAAGGAGCCTGATGCGAGGCTTGACCTCATGAACCGCGAGATCATGACCTGAACCTACGTCAGACGCTTAAAGGACTGGGCCACCCAGGCGCCCTGGGAGAAGGACATTTATTGGGAAATACTGTGAACTCTCAGCAACAGCATTGAAGTCATTCTCTACGTATTACCTACGTGGCACACAGAGGAGGCTGAGGAAGCCTTCGCTCTGGGGGATCTGCCAGGACAAGCCGATATGTGCCATGGCCAGAGCTATAGCTTCTTTGAGGCACAGGATCTTTGAAAGCACAGACAGAACTGAGGAGTTTTTTTAGCGGATTAAAAGAGACAAGATCCTGACCCTATGAAGCTTATGTTACAGTGTATTGAGTATCTTATAATCAATGCTTTTAGGCTTAAAGAGTAAAAGTAAAAAGTTCTCAGTAAAAATTTCTGGTGTGGCTCTGTGTGAGTCAATGAGAGAATGAAACTGCTTATCACCAGCCACTCAGGAAATGAACGTTCTTTCCTTTAGCTCAGTAAGTGCAGGAAAACCATGTTAGGATTTAGGTCAACCTGGAGGGCAGTTTCAAACACACGCTTCACGTTTTATTGCTGACTTGGGTGAGGGTCTAGAAGGTAAGGGGAGGGATGATACATTCAGGGACTCAAAATATTTGTAAGGGCTTGGGTGATGTGACTTGTCAAGCAAGATAAATAAGGCAAGGCTTCTGGGTCCACAAACACCTGATCTCTCATCTACAGGATGTGAAAAAGGTCACTTGGCAGGAACACATGGGAACAGAGATTCTGGGTCTGGCTGATAGTGTTTCTCAAGGACGCTGCATGCGCACCGACGTTCTATCAATTCGTTCTTCCAGCAAGGGGCTCTGTTCTCTCTCTCTGCTGAGGAACGCCATCCTCTACCTCTAACATCCAACTCAGGCACCTATTGCCCAGTGGGCCTCGTCCTCACCATCCCTGCTAGGATCCCTTTCTCCCTCTACCGTTTTTGCAACTTCATGGAGTTTGTGTTTTTCATAATATGCCAAGCAAACTTAAAGTGTACAATTTCATCAGTTTTGACATATGCAGACAGCCCATGAAACCATTGTTACCACCCAGACCACAGACATGTTCATCTCCGGAACAGTCTCACGCCCCTCTGTAATCCTTCCCTCTCTCCTCTGGATCCCCAGGCAACCACCGTCACTACAGGTTAGTTTTGCATTTTCTGGAATTTTATATAAATAGAATCATACAGTATGGTTTCTCTCTTTTTCTTTGCCTGGATTTGAGTTTCATCCATATTGTTGTATCAATAGTTTGTTCCTTTTTTACTGCTTAATTGCATCCTGTTGTGTGGCTGTGCCATCCCTTGTTCGTCCATTTATCTGTTGATGAAAACTTGAAGACATTTTAGTCTTTCTGATAGGCGTGTGGCCACTGAGGTTTTGTTACTGCCCTTTTTCTTCTTGGAAGTTCCTTTTTAGTTCTTTTTCAAATTGCTGTGCCATTAAACAGTTTTCCTGGTCTCTGAAGATATTTTTCAAGTTTATTATTGATTTAAAAATATACGCACAGTTGTTTAAAAACCTTGTCTTCTGGGGCACCTGGGTGGCTCAGTGGGTTAAGCGTCTGGCTCTTGGTTTCAGCTCAGATCATGTTCTCACAGTTTGTGAGTTTGAGCCCCGTGTTGGGCTCTGCGCTGACAGTGCGGAGCCTGCTTGGGATTCTTGTTCTCTCACTCTCTCTCTCAAAAAAACTTAAAAAAAACCACCTTGTCTCCTAATTCCGATATGTAGCATCAGTTTGTGTTTGTGTCTGTCATTTCAGTAGTGTCTCCATTTGGTCTGTCAGGCAGGTCTGGTTTCTTTGTGTGCCTGTGGTTTGATTTTTTGTTTTTGACTTGTTGGTCACCACCCTTGTAAAAGTTTATGTGAGGATGAGGAAGAGCTCCAGGATGAGGCCTAGGATAAAATCTTCTCCTTCAGAGATTTTCTTCGTGTTTGTAACAGATATATGGAAGTAGCATTAGTAAGGAAGAAGTCTCAAATCACGTGTAAGGCCGGAATTCCCCCGGCGGACCCAGGCTGTGTGCACCTGGCTACAAAGCTATTTAGTGGCCACGAGTTTTTCAGGGGAACTTGGTTTTCCTTTTGTGTCTTTTGCTTTGCTCAGTAACAAGGTAACCTTGTCTAGAGTCCCCAGCTGTGTAAGGGCAGTAAAGGCACACTTATCTGTCTGTTCCTAACCTGAGGGCATAGCCTCTGTAGTCCTAACAACGGGGTCCCCTGACAGAGTCCCCTACTTTTACAGGCCTTAGGTCTTAGCCTTGTTTCTCTGGCAGAATTTTCAGTAATGGATGTGTCCTGTTGGCAAAATGGGCCCAATTGGTGCTCTAATTTTTATCACTCCAATTAATGGCTTTCATACAAATACTGGTCACTGAGTTCTCCAGGACCTTTTGTGGCTACTTACTGCTTTTAAGGTAATTTTCAGAAACATGTTTTCTGCAGCCCTTTTCATTTTTTTTCAATAGGAGGACTGATTCAAATAACCTAGTCCCCCTCCCAGGAAGCAGGGAGCAAATGTGCTTTTCCCACTACCATTTCTCAGAAGTCCTACAGAGGACTCAGAGCTCTGGGTATCAGGGAAACAGGATTTCTACAGATGATCTGACCAGGGAGAGGAGGTCTAGAATCTACAGAATTCTTGTCAACAAATGCTCATGATATATGGCAGCATTCGAGAAAACATTTTGTGGGGCGCCTGGGTGGCTCAGTTGGTTAAGCGTCTGACTCTTAATTTTGGCTCAGGTCATGATCCCCCAGTTCGTGAGTTTGAGCCCCAAGTTGGACTCTGTGCTGGCAGCTCGGAGCCTGCTTGGGATCCTCTGTCTCCCTCTCTCCTGCCTCTCCCCTGCTCGTGTGCGCTCTCTCTCTCTGTCAAAATAAATAAACTTAAAAAAAAGAACACATTTTATAAAACGTAAATATCACTAATCACATAACAACACCACCATCAAAGTGGCTTAGAAATCACTTTCATCCTGCTAATGCTTAAGCTGTTTCTTCAAGATCTGACAGACAGGCAGTGCCAGATGGAAAGCTGCTACTTCCTCTACCCGGGCCTACGAGTCCTTGTGTAAAATGACGGCATCTGAAGTTCTTATCAGCTCTGACATTCTAAACGAGAGAATATTTCTGGAGCACAGGATAGCTGGCAGAGGCAATCGCGAAAAGGAAATTCACTGAGGAATTCCTTTAACTCGTGAGAAAAACGGGTGAGAAAACAATGATCAATGTCTGTGGACTCAATGCCCCTGGTTTCTTTTAGCCAGGTTCAAGTATTTTGGGATGAACTTGCCCCCACGGCAAAAGGTTGCTGTATTTCTGGTCGCATGAAACAAAAGTCAGATATGAAGTCATCTGGTCACTAGATTTCTCCTATGTTGCCAAAGTTCTGACAAAGGTAAAATCTCCAGTGTCGTTCAAACCAGAGTTCAAGTAAGCAAATTGCAACAACAGCAGAAATAGATTTTGCCAAAATATATAGTAATTCGTGGCTTCTTTGCTGTCAGTTAAAGATGGTGTTGAAAAGATGTCTCACCTTAACCTGTTTTCACAGCTTAAACTTCCTCACAAAATGTGTTTTTTTAGAGATGTGGCGAAGTAAAGAATGAAGTTTTTTTCAAAGGAAGCTGCCTTTTTCTCCTAACAGTGTAACCCATTTTACCTTGAAATACCCTGAGCGGCACTGAATCGTGGCCTTTGAGTTTTTTGCTAGTGGGGGACTGGAATGAGCGAGCATGCGGAGGGGTGAGGAGAGGGTTTGTTTTAAAACAAAACCCAAAATACAGATCTGAAAGGATGCAAGCAGCATGTGGGAGGTGGGGGGCTCTGCTAAGGGACCACGATGTGACCAGGACCTGTGTGACCCGAGGCTAGCTGTCGCAACCTCCTTCTAGACCTGCCTCTCCTTTTGTGTAAAACAAAGACCTGGCTCTGTAAGTAGGAACTGACTAGATGCTGAGGACTTAGAATTCTTGGATGACTGGGGCATCTGGGTGGCATTGGGCGTCTGACTTCGGCTCAGATCATGATCTTACAGCTGGGGAGTTCAAGCCCCACGTCAGGCTCTGTGCTGACAGTGTAGAGCCTGGAGCCCGTTTTGGATTCTGCGTCTCCCTCTCTCTCTCCCCTCCCCTGAGCATGCTCTCTCTCAAAAATAAATAAACATTAAAAAATGTATAGAATTATTGGATGAGTAACCTGAGTTCTGTTTGGCTAGCAGAGCAAACAGGTTTGACCTGATAAAACACTGTAAAGTTGAAAAGTGGACGTCGGGGCTCTGTTTTTATTATATAACCAAACCAAACCAAACCAAACCAAACCAAACCAAACCAAAACCACAAAAACATACCATTCCTGAAGTTCAGGAGAAGGAATGAGACCTGCGGTTCCATTTTTGGAGTTTTCCAGTTTACCCTGCCACCAGTTGTGATCATCCTTACTAATAATCTGGATAATGTCGCCAACTCTGAATCGAATGCCAGCTTCTTTGCAGGGGATGAGGTCATCCTTGGCTGGATCATATTCAAATTGTGCTCTTACATAGATCTATAAAACAGGAGTTTGTAAGAGAGGCTGCCATGGTGACATGGGAGCAAACAGCTCTAACCTAATAACCACACACCAACACTTACAATACAAACAGGACATTAGATGGTGAAGCCAAATGATGCATGGAAAATAGGACACAAAACTGCTACCACTAGAGACAATGTACTACCTTGGATGTGTGCAGGTTCAAGTCTTGGTGGTTATTTGTTTGGAGGGAGCACTTAAGATACTTTTTTAATAAAAATGAAGACTTAATTTCCGTGTCTACTGTAACAGAATAGGCCTATAATTATAGACAAGTACGCTTACCATTTTTAAATCTGCATATATTTAGCTCATGTGGGGGGCAAGTTGTCATGATCACGTGGCAGCCTTTACGCCACATGCCACAGACACAAGCATTCAGGGTGGGTTCTAACCCGGAAGCAGCACGTGATACAAAGCTAGCAAGCGCTCTGTAAAACATGCCGAGCGGTGTGACAGCTGGGGGCGTGTCCACACACTGCTGACAGACTTAAGTGTAATTGAAACCATTTTTAAAGCACTTAAAACACAGTGTTATTAACTTTTTCAGAAGGATTGGGGCCTTGTATTTTACTCGTCTTAGAGAAGAAAAAGGACTTTGAATCCTGGCTTTGCCGCTTGAAGTCAGCAGAGCTGCACACTCTGCATAATTCAAGGCTCTGGTTTCAGGATGTGTAAATATAACTAGTAAATATTATACAAGGAAACAGATTAGCACATGAGGGGTTACATGGCAGCGTTTTATGAATTATTGGTATTTCTAAAATGCTTTAAAATGTGGTGCTACGTATCTAATGCGGTCTTAGGAATAAACTGGGGGGGAATTCTATCAGGTGCTAATTTTATGCAGAATTTAATGCCCAATCAGGTTATTTTTTTTTTAACACCAAATTCCAAGAAGATTTCCAGAAAAATTCTCTCTCGAAGTTAAATTTGAATATTCATGTTTAAGTCACTGTAAAACCAACCTGAAGGCTTTGGAACTGTTGTGTGATTACTGTTGCTCAAGTTTTCTTTTCAGAAAGCAGGCCTATTAAATTGCCCGGTCTCTGCACTGGCACCCGAGAGCTGTATTCCTGAAGGGCTGGCAAACCGAGCTGCCGGCTCGCTTACGTAGCACTTCCCCATGTGGACCAACAGAGGCATATTGGGATGGAAAGCCAGGACGCTTACGTCCTCGTTTTGCATTGTATGTGGCTTTTAGAAATACACATGCAAATACAGATTTAGAAAAGGTTTCTGGGAATTTCAGAGAATTCCCGCTTGAGCATGTTTTTCAGCAGGTATGCATCAGTTACTCTCAGAATTCTACGAGTTTGGCGACCTTTAAGTCTTTTTTTTCCCCCACTCCAGAGGCAGGTCCAAAAGACCCCCCAAGGCTGAATTCTTAGCCACTGACACAAATTTATCAGGTTGAAATTACAATAACTGTCACAGCTACAAAGAGGTGAGGAAAAAATCTTTATAGAAAATTAGTCATATGTAATGTGTTAAAATGAAATGGTACAAGCTCTCAATGCTTAAATGTTATGGTCCAAAATGCAGACATTATGGGATGGAAAGGGTTAATAAAGGATTGGCTATTAGCAGCTTGGTTTAGAGAAATTTCTATAGAGGATATCTATTCACCTGTCGTCCTTTTGGTTGGGTAGTTGATGGCAAGTCCTGTAGAATAAAGCCAACCCAGGAGAAAAATTTTCATTTACTTTTCAAGAGTACAAGGTAGTTTGTGTGTTCTGCTACAATATGGTTAAAAAAAATGAGCTAGATTTCAGTTGTCAAGAGATCATATACATTATTCCATTTCTCAGAAATGTTGAGTTATCAAAAAAATCAAACCCAGGCCATTTAGCAGCAAGCTGAAGAAAGCAGGTAAGTTTAAGCAAGAGAGAAAATGTGTTCTTAAGAAACAACTCAGCATCTTCAACACAAAAGCCACTGCGAGTGAAATAGCCCTATTAAAAACAAAAACAAAACCCCAAACTAAAAAAGAGCTGATGCCCTTTTTTACTTAGTCACTGCAATCAGTAAGATTTTGAAAAATTCCATGGCTATATGGATTTTCACCATCTTAAAAGTATTACATGTAAACTGTTATAAATGAATTCCTTTGGTAGCCTATTTTGAAGTTAAAAATAAAGGTCATAGGAAATTTTCTCCCATAATTTCTCTTACTGACATCATTCCATTTAAGAAGATCTCTAAATCATTTAAAATTTTATCTGATTAAAAACAGTTGATGTGTTTTTAAAGGGCACGTTAATAGGAAAGAGGCGATACTGCTGCATTTGTAAAACTCTCCATAAATTTCAACAGCAATATCAGCAACTTAAAGATTTTGTTACCCCGAAATATCACATACTTGCACCTTAAGTGCTTCCGTTTAAGTAAATGAAAAACCATTCTTTTCATATTCCAAAATGAATCGGTCTGAAAAAATGGTAAAATTCCAAGTTCAAGTCAAAAGATCAAGTACTTTGTGTTAAAGATGTGATAACAGCGTGGCTTAAGTGCAGTTTGAAGCCAGTTCCTTTTGCTTTTCATATCCAGGCAAGGCTTATAATTCACAAAAATATGTGCACGTACCACAATAACAGAGGGCACACCAATTCATAACGTAGATAGCGGAAACTAAAACATGTTGCTGATATCACTCAGAATAGACAACTACAAAGCCCGAGAATACCCACATGCCTACTCTGCAAAATCCTTAACATTTCTTCATCTTTCTCCAATTAAAAAAAACATTTAGAAATTTCAACAAATTGCCACTTGTATCCTTTGCGTAAGTCCGAGCAAAGTCATAAATGCTGGGGGGTGGAGGGGGCACAGAAATATTTTGAGAATGACCAAGGCAGTCTTGAGCTCCAGTTCTTCAAATTTAACTAGTGAAAGGGATTTTTTTTTTCCACGAGAAGAAAATGTGGAAAAGGCTTTCCAAGGGTAAACTGCATTGTAGCTGTAGTAGCCTTGTATATTGGCAGAAGACAGTATTTCCACTGAACACATGTAGCTAGAACACTCAAGGCAGGTGGCACCAACAAAATTGTCACACTTTGCTGTGTGGAGCTAGAGTTCTTACCGAAACAGAATTGTTAGTGCTGCTATGACCATTAGCTGGGGACTGTCTGGAAGTGGAGGGGGAATCTCTCTGAAATAAGACACAAGGTTCATTAACACAGAACACCAGCACAGAAACAGAGATATTCACATCAACAGTTACAACCACAGTCTGACAACCGTTTCCTCTGAGGTTTTAGCTGCAAAGGTGCTATGCTGACTTACGTGCATCGTTTCACGGAAGTATGACAAAAGTTTTGTAGTCTGAAGATTCACATATTGTAAGTGACGGCCACGTCCTTTATTAAGAATTTCTTTCCTGTCTCCAACATTCTACACAACCTTGGCTTACTTTAAAGTGAGACCCAGAAGAGTGAATTGATATTAACATCCTATCAGGTACTGGAACGTGACAAATATCACTAGAAACTTATTGTGCTCAAGATCCCAACTGCCTAATTTTTGTTGAAAATTAGGCTTGGAAAGTATTTAGTAGTTCTTAGGTACCTCGGTGTCAAAATTTACCGAATGACTCATTTGAAGTGAAACAAATCTAAAAATAGAAAAAAAAACCCCAAAAACGAAAAGACTTCTCATGTCATAATCACCTTGGAGTCTTTCTAGGGCAGATATTACTAATAAGGGTAAAAGATAGACATACACCAGAGAAGAAACCTTTATTCTTTAGATTATTTTAGCAGATTGATTAAAACCCTGAGCCTCTATAATATTATATGTCTGGCAAAGGTCCCAGGAGGCACAGCCACTCTCCCTAGCCCCATCGTCCTCAGTCACAATCTCTATACTCTGTGGCACACTCACAATCCTTTCTGGGCTCCATTCCCGTATTTTCCAAATCAGCTTTAAGGATAACGAGGAGAGGAAGGAATTATGTATTTTAACATTTTTGCTTTAGTAGACTTCTTTGAAAACTCTGAGATGGAAGCGTCTGCTGAAAAGACATTTGTTTTTTCTTGAAGATATAAGGAAAGTTTCTGGAACTTGTTTGAATACTGGGCTCCCTTAGATGAGGATTCTCAAATGTTCGTGAGCAGACTGATTTCTAGGTGCCACCCCCAGAGACTTAAGTCAGTAGGACCAGGGTGAGGGCAGAGGTCTCCTCTTTTGCCAAGGAGGGTATGATGACGCAGGGGGCCAGAGAGCCCTTCTTTGGGAAGTACTGTCCTAGCTGGGAAGAGTCCAGCCACAGGTTTGAGTTCTGCCAGAGCACAGGAGGGTCAAACAGGTTGGGGGTAGGGCTAGGAGGGGAATATCATTTTTTCTACTATTCAGAGGTAAAGAAGATAAAGAGGAGGGGGCGCTCTTCTTACTCAAGCGTAGAATTTACACATGTAATACTGGTCTCATCCTAAAACCAGCTCAACCACTTAAAAAACACAAGAGAAACTTATGTTATATTAATAACTAACAATATCCTCTGGTTAGTTAACTGAAAAGACCAAAAAAAAAAAAAATCAATCGTATTTACTAAATTTCTTCAACGACGAGAAACGGTATGAAGACCACCTGCGAGTTTTAGAATATTAAAAGCTGCACATGAAAAATGTGTGTGACATTCTCTCCTTCCCAGCAAGTTTTGTGTTCTAGGTAACCAATTTCAAAACCACGAATCCTGGAGCAGAAGTTCTGTATTTTCTTTTGAGGTATAGTGTTAATTGAAGTTCCATAAAAAGCCACCAAGAGGAGCTCAAAACCTGATGTAACAGAAACCCCAACTGTCATGGCTCACTAAAATATACTGGCCAAACTACAAATTCTTAGACATATCTTCAATAGGTTGAGAGAAAAAACATGAAGCCTCTGCGTTTGCTTGTGAAATTTACAGCATTGCTAAGAGCCTGGAAGAAGCCTTATAATTCCTTCCTCAGCTTCTCCTGAGGTCAAATTCAATTTTCTAGAGGAGTTCCAGTAAGTTACTTGTCAGTCCTAAAAAATTCACTGTGGGAAATGTGTACGCACATTGATGCACACCTGCTTGGAAGATGCACACGGAAGAACAAACTTAAGAAAATAATACTCTAGGCTGTGTGTAATGACCGAAGGATGATCCCCTTCATGCCAATTTGTGTTTCCAATTATGAAAAAGATCGCTTTTGGAATCTCATGTAATAAGCAACAGAAAACTGAATAACACAGCTTGGAAAAGCTACAGTTTCTATAGGATACACCTACTGTAAGAAAGAAACCGGGGGGCTGTATTACTCTATAAAACTTACTTGCTTGTGCATTGCACAATATTCCACGTTTAAACGATTGCACAGAAGGTTGCAAAAGCCTATATTCCCTCTAATAAAGCCAATTACCAATTCGTCACGGACCTAACACCCATCTAGGGACTTGTCACAATTTTTGAGCACCTTGATCTTAACAGAAATAGATCACTTCTCAGATTCTTTGAAAGAAGAACTATCTGTGTGATTTCTTAATAAGGGAAGTGAATGTACTTCCTGGAAATATTATCACAATTATCTCTATTTTTTTTCCTCAGAGACTCCATTTGTTCTTATTAAGCCTCATGGCATTATTTGTGGCTCGTCTCTATTTTGCTCCGGTTCCAGCCTGCAGAAAGTTCCAGCCTGCTGAGGAGTTCCCCGTGGAAGCAGGGCTGAGTAGGTGAATGGAACCTACTCTGTTCCGTTATCTTTGTTGTAAAATTGGTGTGCAGTGATCAACAGCACAGGCAGAAACAATTTCCCAGAAAGCCAAAACATTCAGCCATCAGCAGACAGTTAGTTAAGAACCCAGAGGAGACAGGGGTGTGTGTGTGTGGGGTGGGGTTGCGCCAGAGCCATTACCTCACAGGACGATGACTGAGTGCGGTAACTTGGCACGATCTTGAAGGTGATACTCCCCCGCATTTCCCGCTGGAGGAAGAATAAAGGAGAGCTCTCTTAACAAACAAATGTCGCACATAAAGACAAGTGAGAAACCACTCGACTTGTGTGGGGGTAATTAACGCAAGTCAGCTGAACACGCATGGGCCTAGCATGAAATCAAAATCGAGTTATAAGGTAGGGACCGCTCACAGGAATAGAAATTGTTCTTGGGAGACACCCCTGCAAAGTCAAGGCTGGCTGCCTTGTTCATGCAGGAGTGGTGGAAACAGACCTCAGGTAGTTACCTTATTATAGTCGCAAAGATGAGAAACCTCTAAGAGCCTTTCAAAAGTGAACATCAATCGAGCCAGTCAAGAGAATAAGTAACTACATGAAAATGGTATTTGGTCTGCTACATTATGATGGTGCTCCATTACGCTTGCTGCTTCTTTTAAATATTTGGCCTTATTGTTTCTACTAGGGTGAGTCAGGGTGCTTCTAATAGATATTCATAGCATGGGGGGCTGCTACAATTGGGGTAGGAGGATGGTCCAGGACATCCGCCTCCGCTCAGCAGGACAATGAATGTAGGCCAGGGACTGTCATTCTGCTTTTGGATATGTACGGTCAAAAAGAGCCTGGTCTACTAGGTCTTTCCTTCCCTCTGTGCCGTAGAGAAATCTAATACAGCTGGCTATGACTCAGCTAAACAGGAACAAGGTTTCTGACATTGCTAATGTCAGCAGGATTGAGGTCAGTGAGAAACTAGTTCACAGATATGCACAAGTTACTTGTCAGTCCTAAAAAATTCACTGTGGGAAACATGTACTGCATATGGACGCACACCTGCTTGGAAGATGCACACGGGAGAACACGCTTCAAAAAATAATACTCTAGCTGCGTGTGTAACGACCCAAGGATGATCCCCTTCATGCCAGGAAACTGGCAAGGTTATCTTTACGCATCTGCTACATAAGAAACAGGAGATCAAGGATGAAAGGAGAGTGTTGCAGCCCACGTTGCCAGACGGGCAAGGTGTTTCCAAACTCTGGGGCATGCAAACATTTCCCCAGTTGTCTATTTCTTTTCTTTTCTTTTTTTTAAAAGTAGGCTCCACGCCCAGTGTGGAGCCCAATGCAGGGCCTGAGCTCATGACCCTGAGATCAAGATCTGAGGTGAGATCAAGAGTCGAACGCTCAACTGACTGAGCCACCCAGGCGCCCCCCTCCTGCCCCTGCGCTGTTGCCAATTCTTACGAATGTTGTAGAAATTCAAATCACACAAGCGATAGTATCAAAAATACTCTGATTACAAAAGAATACTCCTTATCTGTGCGTTAAAAAACAAGCCAACAAACTGAAAGTCAAGCTTGGAAAAAGACAAAGAAACTTTCATTTACTCACAAGCATTTTTTGCAGCTGTTCGACTGTTTGGTTAGCCACACTGATGCCATTAATCTCTCGAATTTCATCACCAACGTGAAGTGTACCTAAAGAGAGGACACGAGACATGAAATTATATATATATAACACACACACACCCCTTATATATTTTATTTATAATATATATTATATTAACAACAAAACCCAAAGGTAGCAATGTAAGTAATTTAAAAAATTAAGCTAAATATTGAAGGCCAACATTCAGAAACAGGTACAACTGTGGCTCATGTAGTGAACTCACCAAGACAGGTACATTTACTTACAGAGGACATACTTTTGAAAGATGGCAGTGGAAACCTGCTCATTTGTCTGAGAGAGGCAGTGTGTACAGTCAGTTAAAATGACAGCTTCTAGATGTAGCCTGCCAGGGTGCAAATCCCAGCTATATCACTTACTAGATTTAGGACCTTGGGTAGGTCATCAAAACTTTCCATGTCTTGGTTTTCACATTTACAAAATGGAGATGAAAATAGTACCTATTTCATATGATTCTTTGAGGATTAAATTAGTTTAATATATGTAGGAGGATTAGAAATGTTCTTGGCACATGGTAAGTACCATTTAAGTGTCTGTTATTATTTTCTACCATTATTTTATCTACCAAATATGATACAGAGAATTGTGATAATACCTGTATAATGCTAAATTTATGGTAGACAAAACATAGTCCTTTTATAATAATTTGGTAGGCATTTCAGGGACCTGTCTTAAATTGGAAAAAGTGACCAAGAACCAATGCTTAGAGAGTTATGGAAAATTTTACTTCCTTATTTATAAATTGTGCACATGTTTACATGCTGACCTGACTTCGTGACAAAAAGCTCACAGTGTCTTTTAGAGGTACATACTAATATGTCCAGAAAGAAAATAAGATGCCTTTATTTGCTTCAAAATACTCCAGGAGAGCGGACAGTAGGGCAAGTATGGATGAAACCAGTGTGGCCATGAATTACCAGTAATTCCAGTGGGTTATGGGCACACGGGTGATCGCTGCACTATACTTTCTGCTTTTCTCTACCTGAACTCACTGCACTATTCTCGCTACTCATGTTTGAAAATTAACATAATAAAACAAAAATTTGGGGACTTTTGTTTCCAATATGGCACACGAAGAATTGCTCACAATTATACCTCACCTAGGGTACACCTCTTCAAGTGCTACTGGTCTCACAACAGGAGTACACATTCCCAAGAGCACTTCCTACTTCCATCCCCACCATCAGCTCCGCACAGAAACCTGTGAGCTGGATCAGAGTGGTAGCAAACTAAGGGTGGAATGAAATAGCTGAAAGGGTGAATGCCACAGTAGCAATGCCTGCTGGCTGGATTCTGAGACTTGGACCAACAGCAAGTTAGAGAGGCTGAGCCTAGGAATCTGTTGGGAGGCAAGACTCAGGTCAGTGGCACTCCATGGTAACTTGTAGAAGAGGGAACAGACTCTCTCTGGAAGAAAGTATTCCCAGTTTAGGCCCACAGGACATCCACTAATTGGAACAAACAATGAGCTCACAATCCAAGATCACCAAACAGACAATAAGGCAAACTACTATGTGAGTTATCAGAAACAGAAAAAACAGATTTATTACAGTTTAAAAAAAATTTATTTTTGAGAAAGATATAAAGAGTAAGCAGGGGAGGGGCAGAGAGAGAAGGAGACAGAATTCCAAGCAGCTCCACTCTGTCAGCACAGAGTCTGATGTGGGGCTTGAACCCATGAACATGGCCTGAGCTGAAATCAAGAGTCGGACACTTAACTAACTGAGCCACCCAGATGTCCCCAGAGAAAAGAGATTTAAATCATCAAGGAGAGCAGATACTGGAATGATCAGATACAGAATGTAAAATGGCTATACATTAATAAAACTAGGAACAAATGACTAGTACTTCTAGAAAAGAAAAATATACTGGTGATATAAACCAATGAATGGATGAGTTGAGCAGGAATTCAGACATGGCTGCAGAGAGTTTCAGTGAACTGGAAGAAATAACCAAATAAGGTACCTAAAATGCAAGTCAGAGAAATAAGGAGATACAGAAAATAGGAAAGAAGAAATGAAGAATATAGGAAAAGAGATTAAAAAATATGGAGGGAATGTCTAACACATGTCCAGTGGAGTTCAGAAGGAGAGAATATGGAGAATGTAGAAAAGGCAATATTTGAAGAAATAATGGCTGCAAACTTTCCTGAACTGATGAAAATATGATTAGACAGATCTGGGAAGAATAATGTATGCCAAACAAGATAAATAAAAGAAATCCATGCTGATGGGAGTGAAACTATAGAACATCTCAAGACAAAGACCTTAAAACACCAGAGAGAAAGCAAGGACAATCCTAGTGACATCAGACTTTCCGGTGTCAAACAATGGATGCCAAAATACAACAGAATGGTAACCATCAACCTAAAATTGTGCTCTCAACAAAAGTAATTTTCAAAATTGAGGCTGAAATAAAATATTTACAGATAAATACCACCTGAGGGAGTTTATCAACAGAAGACTGGCAGTAAAGGGACTTCTAAGGATATACTTTAAAAAATTTTTTTGTAAATCTTTTTTAAAAAATTAGTAATTTATTTATTTTTAACTTACATCTAGGTTAGTTAGCATACGGTGCAACAGTGATTTCAGGAGTAGATTCCTTAATGCCTCTCACCCATTTAGCACCCCCCCCCACCCCCTCCAGCAACCCTCTGTTTGTTCTCCATATTTAAGATTCTCTCATGTTTTGTCCCTCTCCCTGTTTTTATAATATTTTTGCTTCCCTTCCTCTAAGGATGTACTTTAGGAAGAAGGAAAATACCCCCTAAAGATGCTCTGAGGTTTAAGAAGGAATGGTGAGTTTACACCTGAAACTAATATAACACTGCATGTTAAGTATGCTGGAAACAAAATAAAAAGAAATAGAAGGAATGGTGAGTAAATAAAATTATAAATATTTATGTAAATCCAAACCAAAATAGTCATATTTTAATAGTAATTTCAAATTTGTGAATTTAAAACAGGACAGAACTAAAATACCGGGCAAGAATAATATGCAAATCAGGAGTGCAGTCAAATTTAGTCTTCGAATATCTTTGTACTCTTTGTGAGTGGGATTAGGATACTGTTTCACTTTAGTATATGTAATGTTAAATATGAATGATAAAATTCCAAGGTAACTACCTAAAACACAGAAATAGAGTGCTAAAATTCTAAACTGCCAGGGGGCAAAAATGGAACAAAAAATGAACAAATAATCAATTACAAAATGGAATAAATATAAATAAAAAAGCAAGATGATAGAATCACAATAAATATCAATGGACTAATGCCCATTAAAAGATAGTGATCATCAGAGTACATTAAAAAATAAAAAACCCAGCTTATAAAGTTTTCAAGAGACACACTGAGGCATACAAGCAGAGAATGGTTGGGAATAAAAGGATAGAAGACATGCAAATACTAAAATAAAACTGGAATAAGTATATTAATATTAGATAAATAGATTTTAGCAGTTTTAATGTTTACTTATTTGGAAAGAGGGAGTGAGAGTAGGGGAGGGCAGAGAGAGAGGGAAAGAGAGTATCCCCAACAGGCTCCTCACTCAGCGGGGAACCCGACATGGGGCTGGGACCGTGAGATCGTGACCCGAGCCGAAGAAATCAAGAGTCAGATGCTCAACCAACTGAGCCATCCAGGTGCCCCTAGATAATAGGTTTTAAATAGAAAGTATTAAGAATAGAAATGGTTACCAGATCTATGCACCTAATAAGACAGCTTCAAATATATAAAGCCAAAATTGAGAGATCTATGGGTAGAAATGGAAAAACTCTACTATGATAGTGAGATATGTCAGCAATTACTGATAGGTCAGATGCACAAAAAACCTAGTCAAGAAACAGAAGATGTGAAGAAAAAAAATTAATAACTCCAAGCCAATTATCATAGAGAGACCTTTCCATGCAACAGTTAAAGAACAAACCTTCTTCTTAAGTACACATGGACCTTTACAAAACTGATTAAAGTGCTATGCCATAAAGCAAGTCTCAAGAAACCTCAAAGAAATGGTGTCATACAGACCACACTCTCTGACCACAGTGCAATTAAGTTAGAGGTAAATTATAAAAAGACACATAGAAAATCTTCTTAGATGTGGTATGTAAAAAAACCTTCTAAATGACGGTGGGTCAATGAAAGATACCATAATAGGAATTTAAGAGTACTTAAAACTGAATTACACTAAAAATGCTTCATATCAGAACTGGTGGGATACAGATAAATGAGTACTTAAGGGTAGAGTTTAGACTCAAATGCATACATTACAAATAAAGACTGGGATAAATGAACTAAGCATCTAATTAGGAAAGTTAGATAAAACTAATACGAAGTAGAATGAAAGAGAGAACTAGAAATCAGATCATAAAACAATGAAATAGGAAATAAACATATAATGGAGAGAATTAACAGAACCCAAAGTGGGTTTTTGAACAAACCCCTGGCAAAGTTGATTAAGAGAAAAAAGACAAGGCACAAAGAAACACTTTTAGGAGTGAATAAGGGGACATAATTACAGAGATGGCTGGGAATAAGAAGCTTACTGCAATAATTTTTAAAAGCTTTTTAAAGGAAAATGTAATTTACCAAACTCACTCAAGATACAGAAAGCTTGAATGACTGTTAAACAAACTAAAACAGTTGTTAAAAAAAAAAAAAAAAAAAAAAAAAGAAGTCTTTCCTAAAGAGTCCCAAATCAAAAACCAAACACTAGGCCTTGATAGTTTTATAGTTAAGTTCTACCAAACTTTAAAGGTACAAATCATTCCAAAATTATACAAAGTCTTTCAGAGAACTCATCAAGGGAGAAGGCTCTCCAAGTCATTTAATGAAGTAATGAAGCTTTAAAATTAAAACCATATAGGGGCGCCTGGGTGGCTTAGTCGGTTAAGCTTCCGACTTTCGCTTAGGTCATGATCTCACGGTTCGTGGGTTCGAGCCCCGCGACGGGCTCTGTGCTGACTGCCAGCTCAGAGCCTGGAGCCTGTTTCGGAGTCTGTGACTCCTTCTCTCTTTGACCCTCTCCTGCTCACGCTCTCTCTCTCTCTCTCTCTCTCTCTCTCTCTCTCCTAGAAATAAATAAAAAACATTAAAAAAAATTAAAAAAAAAATTAAAACCATATAGAGAAAGACCAGAAAGGAAGACTAACTACAGGCCAGTCTCATTCATAATTGCAAATACAAATATCCTAAACAAAACATTGGCATACAGGATCCAGCAGCACATACCAAAGAAAAAAATAATACACAATGATTAAGCTGGTTTATCTAGAAGTGCAAAAGGACTTTAACATAAGAAAATCTTTAAAAGTCATTTACTACATTAATAGATAAAAGAAAAAAAAAACAAATGATCATCTCAGCAGATGAAGTGCATTTGATAAAATTCAAACCCAATCATAAATGGCTCAGCAACTAAGAATATAAGAGAACTTCCTCAGCCCTAATAAAAGGCATCTACAAAAATCTGCAGTAAATGTTATTCTTCACGGGGAAACACTGGAAAGCTACCTTTCAAAAATAAGAATAGGACAAGGATGTCCACTACACCACTTTTTTTTTTTAATTAAAAAAAAATTTTTTTTAAACATTTATTTACTTTTGAGAGACAGAAACAGCGCACAAACATGGGAGGGGCAGGGAGAGAGGGAGACACAGAATCCCAAGCAGGCTCCAGGCTCTGAGCTGTCAGCACAGAGCCTGATATGAGCTCGGATCCATGAACCATGAGATCATGACCTGAGCCAAAATCAAGAGTCAGACGCTTAACCAACTGAGCCACCCAGGGACCCCACTGCTATACCACTTCTATCAGAGATGGCAGGTCCTAGTCACACAGTAATGTAATAAAAAGAGATTATGGAAACAGTGATGTTGTGACTTTACTGAATTTATAGCAAATTATTAAAAATAATAAACAGAAAATCCACCCTGGAGTCTAAAACCAATTCTCCTGTGTGAGCACTTTCTACTCACGTAGCCTATACAGATTCCCCTGAAGGCAGCAGTTGTACCAGGTATCATCTGCGTACACAGTGGTCATTACTAAAGAGGATGGGAAGGCACTAAAATGCTTATGGTGTTACTTCTTGCTCTCTGGGGTTAAGGAAAAAGCAAAGAGGCGCTAAGGACAAAAATAACCTGATCTTAAAGAAAGGAAGCCTAATTTTTTGCACAGGAGAATAATTTTTGGATCAGCCTCTAAGTACTAGCACATATAACTCAGTGCTTTCAGAGAGGAGGGTAAGGCTGTATGTCTAAATCTCACCCACCCGATGGTTAGTGGAAGTTCCCCTTTCTCAAAAACTCCTTCTTTACTTCAGGCCTCAGTGAATTCCTTTCTCAGAATGACTGCAATTACTGTAGCAGGTATTAAAAACTTAATCCAGATTTGATATTTCTTATTTTGCCACTGAATTTTTATATTATTATTTATCAACCTCTAATTGCCCAATTTAGAAATTGTAGATATCATTCCTGAGTAAATTTGAGAGAACAATTCTTGAATTGCCATTTTTAATACACAAATAAATATGAATGAATGAATGAATGAATGAATGAAGGTATGTATGTATGTCCCAGAATAGATAGATGCCTTCCATATATCCTGGGGCCAGGTATGATAACTTTGCTTTATCCCCCAGGGTCTTTTCCTAAGCCAGGATCCAAACAGTGATTCAGACATGTTCCAGCAAGAGAACTATAATATGTCCTCTCTGCCTTATCCACAGGCTGGACCATGTACAGATGAATATGAACAAATGGAGGCCAATGGCGATTAAAACCAAAGACAGATAACTTAAATAGATCATTTATGGGGACGACAGATTAAATAGATCTTTTATATGGAACACACACACACACACACACACACACACACAAGGCTTTCTCCACTAGGCTACAGAAAAAAAGTTAAGGAAGGAAAGAATCATATACAGAACTTACCTTGCCTGTGAATCATGCCCCCGTGCATAATTCTTGCGACAATACAGTGATTTAGCTCATTCATTTTTAAAGTTATTCCCTGTAAAAAGTTAAATAACAGAAAATTACTATTCCTTTTTATGTGATTTCACTGTAGATACCTTTATTTACAAAAGTTAGGAAAACATACAAGAAAATATGGAAAATGAAGTAGAAAATCACCTGTTTACCATTCCATGGTATTTTGATTGCTGTAATAATAGTAATATATATATTTTATTTTGTGATTTTAATCTTCTAATTATAATTATTTTCCATGTTGCTAATCTTTTTAAAAAGCTTTTACTGATGTATAATTGACATACAAGGTGTACAATTTGAGAAGTTTGACATATGTATACACGTGTGAAACCATTAACTATACTGAGTGTGTGTATGTGTGTGTATATATATACATCCATCATCCCTAAAAGCTTCCTTGTGCTCATATCTCTATATATACATATAGGTATATCTATATAGATATATATCCATCCCCCCTAAAAGTTTCCTTGTGCCCATATAGTTCTATGTATACACATATAGATACACAGATATACCTATATATATATCCATCACCCCTAAAAGTTTCTTTGTGCCTATATATCTACATATATACACATATCTATCTATCTATCCGTCCGTCCATCCATCCATCCCCCCTAAAAGTTTCCTCGTGTCCACTGGTAATCTACTCCCATTCCTGTACTCCCTGTCCCTACTCTATGGTCCCTCATACAGCATGCACTCTTTTTTGTTGCTTTTTAAAAATTCACAATGTGAGATTCAATCACATTGTTGTATGTGTCAACAGTTCATTCTTTGTCTTTGAATATTCCATTTATGGATATATCATTTTGTTTATCCATTCATGGACTTAATTTTTTCCCTAGATTTTGGCTATTAGAAGTGAGCTGTATCCCTGGGTTAGTCTCCAGTTTGTCATGATGTATTCTCCTTTTGTTAAGATATGAATTTGTTTAGAATCTTTGCATCTATATTCATAAGGGTTACCAGTCTGTAGTTTTCTTGTAATGTCTTTATCTGGTTTTGGTATCAGGGTAAAAATGCTAGCCACCTAATAATAATGATGATGACGATGATGATACTGGGGAGAATGCCTTCCTTTTCAATATTTTGAGAAAAATTTATGTAGAATTGGTATTACTTCTTTATATGTTTGGTAGATTTCACCAATAATGTCATCTTGGAGTTTCCTTCAAGGAATGGTTTTTAAGTACAGATTCAATTTTTAAAAAAAGTAGGGCAATCCAGTGTATTCCTTCTTAAGTGAGCTTTGGGGTATTTCTGTCCTCCATGGAATTGGTCCATTTCATCCAAGTTGTTGAATTTCTTGTCATAAAGTTGTTTATAAGATACCTTATACTTTTTATGTCTGTAGATTCTGTAGTACTGTCATTTTTTAAAATGCATTATGTTGGCAATTAGTGTCTTCTTTTTCCTGATGGGTCTGATCTTCTCAAGGAAATAGCTTGTTTTATTGATTTTCCTCTATTCTGTTTTCTATTTAATATCCACTTTGATCTTTACTATTTCTTTTCTTTCACCCACTTTGCGTTTAGTATGTTCTTTTTCAAAAAAAGAACTTGGCTTAAACTAAATTATCATCTTTTAAAAAAATTTTTAATGTTTATTTTTGAGAGAGAGAGAGAGAGAGAGAGAGAGAGAGAGAGAGGGAGGGAGGGAGGGAGGGAGGGAAGGGGCAGAGAGAGAGAGGGGGAGAGAGAAATCCCAAGCAGGCTCTGTACTGCCAGCACAGAGCCCGATGTCGGGCTCAAACTCATGAACTGTGAGATCATGACCTGAGCTGAAACCAAGAGCCTGTCACTTAACCAACTAAGCCACCCAGATGCCCCTAATTTGCTCTTTTTTGTTCTAGTTTCTTGAGGTAGAAGCTAAGGTCATTTATTTATTTTCTAATATATGTGTTTAGTGCTACACATTTCTCCCTATGTACTGTGTTAGCAGCATCCCAGAAATTGTGGTATGTTGTTTCATTTTCATTCACTTCAAAATGCTTTTTAATTTCCCTTTTGATTTTTCCTTTGATCCATGGGTCATTTAGAATTGTGTTATTTAGTTTTCAAATGCTTGGGGAGTTTTCCAGAGGTCTGTTATTCATTTTCAATTTAATCACAATGTGGTCTGAGAATTATGCTCTGATATTAATATAGCCACTCCAGCTTCCTTTTGATTAATGACATCATAATAGAACTTTTTCAATCCTTTTGCTTTGAAACTATTTGTCTTTATGTATAAAGCATTTCTTGCAGGCAATATATAATTGGGTCTACCCTGCTTCCTACCCCATCTGACAATCTCTGCTTCTTAATTTGGGCAATTCAGACTATTTGCATTTCACAGGATTATTGATACAGTAAGGTATACATATATCTCCTTGATATTTAATTTCTATTTGTTCCATCTGTTCCATGTTCCCTTTTTCCTCTTTTTCTGTCTTCTTTTGGATTAGCTTATTTTTATTCTATTTTTCTCTCCTGTGTTATCCGAGTAGCTATAATTCAGTTTTGTTGTTTTAGTGGTTGCTTTAGGGTTTATTGTGTACGTCTTTAACTTATCAGTCCACCTTCAAGTCATATTACACAATATCATATGTAGTATAAGAACTTTTTAAAAAATATTTTTAAATTTTATTTCTGAAAGACAGAGAGAGACAGAGTGAGCAGAGGAGGGGCAGAGAGAGAGGGAGACAGAATTCGAAGCAGGCTCCAAGCTCTGAGCTGTCAGCACAGAGCCTGACGCGGGGCTTGAACCCACGAACTGTGCGATCATGACCTGAGCCGAAGTTGGATGCCCAACCAACTGAGCCACCCAGGCGCGCCAGTATAAGAACTTTTTAACAGTATATTTCCACTTCCTTTCTCTTGACCTTTGTGCTACTGTTATACATTTTACTTTTACATGTAATAACCCCCCAAACATGGTGCTGTTATTTCTGTTTAAACTGCTAACTATCGTTTAAAAAGATTTAAACAATAAGGATGTTCTTTGACATTTCTTACATTGTAGGTCTACTGAATTCTTTCAGTTGTGGTATCTCTGAAAATGTTTTTATTTTGCCCTTAGTTTCTGAAACACACCTTTGCTGGGTTTAGAATCCTAAGTTAAGCAATTTTGTTTTTTCCTTCCGGACTTTAAAGGCACTGGTCTTCTCAATTGTGTTGTTTCTGATAAGAGGTCTGATGCCATTCTTATCCTTGTTCCTCTGTATGTAACATTTCTTTTTTATCTCTGTCTTCAAGATCTTCTATTTATCACGGTTTCTAACTCATCTGATTAAGATGTACCTTGGTGTGGTTTTCTTCATGTTTCTTGGGTTTGGGGTTCATTGTGGTCTTGTACCTGAAGATTTATAGTTTTCATCAAGCTTGGAATGTTTTCATCCATTATTTTTTCAAACATCTCCTCTCTTTTCTTCACTCTCTCTTCCTTCACAGAGTCAAATTAGCCATATGTTAGGCTGCCTGAAGTTGTCCCAGAGCTCAGCAGTGCATTTTTCATTTTTAAAAATTCTTTTTCTGTGTTTCATTTTGGATAGTTTCTATTGCTATGTCTTTGAGTTCACTAATCTTTTCTTCTCAAGTGTTTAATCTGCCATTATTTTTTATTATTTATATTTTATATTTATATGTATTTTTCTACTAATTCTAATATCTTTGTCAGTTTTCTGTTTTGATTATTCTCCATATTATAGGTCACATTTCCCCCCTTCTTTACGTGCTTAGTAATCTTTGATTCAATGCCAGACATTATGAATTTTATCTTGCTGCATGTTAGAGGTTTTTTATTCTTATAAATATTCTTAGGCTTTGTTCTGGGATATAGTCCAGTTACTTGGGTCAATTAGTTTGACCTTTGTGTCAAGTCCTTTGCATCTTGCTTTCATGATTTGTTAGGCAGGTCTTGAGCAATTCTGAACCTAGGGCTAATTATTCCTCATTACTGAGACAAGATCTTCCTGAGCACTCTATACAATGCTCCATGAATTCGTTTTTCCAGTCTGGCTGGTGGTTAACAGGCAGTGAATATTGGGTACTGTTCCCTCTAATCCTCATGAATGGTTTTTCCTTGGCTCTGGGTAGTTTCTTCTCATAAATGCACTGATCATAACTCAGATGACTACTTCAGGGGGACCATCTATGGATCTCTGGAGTTCTCTCTCTGTGCAGCTCTCTCCTCTTCAGTCCTCTGGTCCTATAAACTTTAGGTGCCTAGGTCTCCTTGATTCTCAGCTCTGTCTCCTCAATTCAGGGTGTCTGCCTGCTCTGCCTCAGTTCTCCCTTTCTGTGCTGTGGCCTGGAAACTCTCTCAAGTCAGTGAGGTCGGGAAATCGTAAGGCTCACCCTGTTTGCTTCCTGTCTCTTAGGGTTCATTATCCTTTGTTGTCTGATGTCCCATGTCTTGAAAACTGTTCTTTCATGTAATTTTTGTCTGCTAAAATTTTTTTTTTGGTTATTTCAGGTGAGAGGGTAAATTTGGTCCTTGTTATTCCATCTTGGCCAGAAGCAGAAGCTCTACATCTTTAATGCTGGACTACTAGTCTATGGAGATTACTTTTTGTTTTCCCATTATTCTCTATTATAAGATAAACTTTCATAAGCATTTAAAAAAAAATTTTTTTTAATGTTTTATTTATTTCTAGGAGAGAGAGAGAGAGACAGCGTGAGCAGGGCAGGGTCAGAGAGAGAGGGAGTCACAGATTGAAACAGGCTCCAGGCTCTGAGCCGGCAGTCAGCACAGAGCCCGACGCGGGGCTCGAACCCACGAANAGAGAGAGGGAGTCACAGATTGAAACAGGCTCCAGGCTCTGAGCCGGCAGTCAGCACAGAGCCCGACGCGGGGCTCGAACCCACGAACCGCGAGACATTGACTTAGCGAAAGTCGGACGCTTAACCGACTAAGCCACCCAGGCGCCCCTGCTTTTTTTTTTTTTTTTTTTTTGGTACTAGACCTGGCTGATCCTAAAAGGCACATGGGGACCTTTTAAGTAATACTGTCTTTTAAATTCACTCTTTGGATTCAGATTCAGGAAGTCTGGAATGGAGCCCAGAAATCTATATTGTTAACAAGCACCCTTGGTGAAAACTGGTCTTGAATTTAAGATGATTAACAGTAGGGGGACTATCTTATCTTCTTCATTGGAGAATAACACTCTGTTGGAAAACTTTAAGAAAATATTTGAACCTTTATAATTTAGACTCAGAATTTGTACAGTTCCACAGAATATAACTTTGCCTGGTTCCTATTTTGCAGTTCTTAGAAGTGGTGGGCAAGCAATGTGAAGAATTGGTATATCAAATGTTTCCAGTCCCAACATTCAACTGTAATGTTCAAGTTTCATTTCCAACTTGTATATTCAATCAGCATGTATGGTTACCAAGAGAGGTGTTCCTGGAAGAATGCTGTAAGTTAATATGTAACTCAAATCTAACGTCATAAGGGAAATGATAGTATGATGGGGGTTCCATCCTTGAAATGAATACATTAATGCATTCTTTCAACCAACACTACTGTGATTCTGTTATGTAGCAGGCACTCTGCTAGCACAAATGAATGAGACTATTCAATATACAATAGTACATTGTAGAGAATATACAATATAGAGAATATACAATAGTGACAAGACAGACAGGGTCTCTCATGATTGGGGGCCCAATTAGAGTTAACAACATTTATTATTTTGTCTGACCCAAACCTTTCTTTGCAGAGAGGAACTGACTCATCTTCTCTCTATTTGCAAGTTTCTAAATTCCAGGGAAGGGATTGGTCTAGCTTGGGCTGGGTGCCTACTCACGAACCTACCCCAGCTTGGGGTAGACTCCTGGCCTTTTCTTGTTTACATAAGCCTTTCCCCTGTTGTCTAAGCTAGTTCAAGTTTGGTCTTTATCACTTGCAACTAAGGGAGTCTCAATCGACTGAAAAGTAATTTCAAGGTGAGTTGCAAATGGGAAAAGAAGGGCGTAATGGGAGTGTATCGCCCTTGCAGGGTGGATCTAGCATAGCTGGACACATTATAGGAGGTCCAAGAAGTAAAAAAGATCACACAGGTATATGCTGCACAGTGATATAATGCTTTTGATAAGACAACTAAGCAAGCAAATGAAGCTGTATTAAGTTTAACAGAACTGTACTCCACTGTTGAGAGTATCTATTTTACATCAAATAATTCCCATTTTTATGGCAACCATTCAAAAGGAGAATACACACCTTCAGTAGGATCAAAGAAAGAGCAGAGGTGGTCTTCTTTAAAGGACTTTTGGGGAGACTCAAAGCCATTTTTAAAAAATTTTTATGGTTATTTATTTTTGAGAGAGGGAGAGAGAGCACAAAAGTGGGGGTGAGGGGGCAGAGAGGGAGACACAGAATCCGAAGCAGGCTCCAGGCTCTGAGCTGTCAGCACAGAGCCCGATGTGGGGCTTGAACCCACGAACCATGAGATCATGACCTGAGCTGAAGTCGGAGACTTAATCAACTGAGCCATTCAGGCGTCCCGACTCAAGGCCATTTTATGCTTTCTGAAAAAACTAACTCAAGGATATACTTTTTATTCAGCCTATGTTTTCAGGTAGCCTCCATACAAAAGATCAAACAGATGTCATTGTGCTGCTTTGGAAAATGATGATCACAGGACCTCTAGGACTCCTTCTTCTCGTCCCTTCCCTCTTCCTTTCTGCTTTGCTTGGCTGAACATCACCCCTTCATCCTGCCTCTCTGTCACAGCCTTTGCTCCTCTATAGCTCTGTCCTAACAGTCCTTGTTCAACAAACTGTGCTCAACTGCATATTTACTTGTGTAACATCAGTGGTTCTGTGGAAAGCAAGTTCTGGGAAGGGGCTGTGTCTTATCTGCCACTACATCACTGGCATCCAATACACTGACCTGCACATAGTAGGCACTTAACAAACATTTGCTAAATGGGTGAATGACTGTATAAAACGATTAAATGGATATTAGACTTCTGGAGCTGGGTGGGATCTGGGGGTCATTTGGCCAAGTATGCTTCTGGCAATAATTGCTAAGCAAACTATGACAAACTGGAAGTGATTTGCCCAAGGCATCCCAGAGATGCTACTGCCCTCCTTCCCTCCCCACCTCTTGGTAGTGTATAGGTTAAGGTGGGGTACCCTAACTCGGGCTGGGATTTTAAAGTCTAGAAGACTTTCTTTTCCTACTTACCATGGGCTCATCTGTGTTCTTCTGGAACTGGACCAGGCGGACTCTGGTCACATTCTCCATATCCATATCTCCGTTCGCGCTTTCTGGAGAATCACCATTTAAATAGGGAGAGGTGGGAGGAGGTGTGACCCTCAACGCCTCATCGCTGTAAACTTCATGTGCCACTACGTCGTGAGTCTGAAGTAAGGCCTGGTATTTGGTGAAGAACGTAAAATATTAGTAACAGTCCTAGTCCAGCAGAAATGTGTTATTTCACATAAAGGCTGATGTGACACAATTCCAAACAACTGAGTAGAATCATCTGTTAACAGAGGTGGCAAATTTGGGCTAGGGCTTAAAATGGAAACAAATTTATAAAGACACAAAGCAATAATTGGTGTACTGAGCAAATGTCTTTCTGGATAGTATTATCCAATAACTCCTTTATATAACCCAAAGGATAAAGATGATTTATAACGCGTGACTTAGTAAAAGAAATGAAAACACACGCAAGTGTACCTGAAAAAATGTAATTTTCCAAATAACACATATGACATAGAGCTCAAAGTCTAAATCTATGTAATGTTTTTGTTATTTTGATTTTCTGGAGCACTTGCCCAATGAAAAATAAGTTGACAGTTATTATTATGAATGTTTTTGCAAAGCCTGTTAACAAAGAAAAAGTGATTTCCTTGTATTGGTATCTGCATATGTCATCTCCGTGAAACTGGATAATAAAAATCCCCTTTTCCCCCCTGGAAAAGGATAATCTTCCACTTTCTGTATTTTTTGTGTCATCATAAAAAAATTTTTAATGGCCATGAATATTTGAACATTTCCACTTCAGAGAGAACTTTATGGCTGAATATCAGTATGTTTGGATCTTCACACAGATTTTATTTTCTTGTGTGCTAACTATAAACTCGGTTCTATTCTAATCTGTGATCTGTGTGGTAATGAAATATCCAGAGATAATGAAATGCAATCATAATGGCTTTAAAAGTATAACCCTTAGCATCTCAAATTAAGTTATTTAATTACAAAGCTTATCAAAGCCATGACTTGGTTATTTTAATTTGAAAGGCATGCAGATGAGGCAAAAATAAAAAGGTAACAATGTAGTAAAATCGTAAAGAAGGTTGTACTGTTCTGTCATCAACAGAGCATATGCTTGGAGCAAGGAATGCGTTTGGGTTCTTTTTAAAATTTAAAACAATGTTTATTTTTTTAATTTAATTTTAATTTTTTAAAATGTTTGTTTATTTTTGCGAGAGAGAGACAGAGCACTAGCAGGGCAGGGGCAGAGAGAAAGGGAGACACAGAATCTGAAGCAGGCTCTAGGCTCTTAGCTGTCAGCACAGAGCCCGATGTGGGACTTGAACTCATGAACCATGAGATCACGACTTGAGCTGAAGTTGGACGCTCAACTGATTAAACCACCCAGGCGCCCCAAATGTTTATTTTTGAGGGAGAGAGACAGAGCATGAGCAGGGAAGGGGCAGAGAGAGAGAGGGAGACACAGAGTCCAAAGCAGGCTCCAGGCTCTGAGCTGTCAGCACAGAGCTTGATGCGGGGCTCGAACTCACGAACTGTGAGATCATGATCTGAGCTGAACTTGGACGCTTAACTGACTGAGCCACCCAGGCGCCCCTGCATTTGGGTTTCTAATAGAAATGGCTGCCTGTTCCAAGATCTCAGGGGGCTGATCTAAACTGGGGTCTGGGTGAGGGGGCACTAAACAGTGCATAGCTTGAAGAAAAAAAAAATTAAAAAAAAAAAAAAAAGGGGCGCCTGGGTGGCTTAGTCGGTTAAGCGTCCGACTTTCGCTTAGGTCATGATCTCGTGGTTCGTGGGTTCGAGCCCTGCGTCGGGCTCTGTGCTGACTGCCGGCTCAGAGCCTGGAGCCTGTTTCAGTCTGTGACTCCCTCTCTCTCTGATCCTGCCCTGCTCACGCTGTCTCTCTCTCTCTCTCCTAGAAATAAATAAAACATTTAAAAAAAAAAATAAAATAAAATGCTTAGAAGAGAAAAGCTCCAGCAGTACAAGTTTATTTAACATAGTATATATAGCTCAGAACTCTATTTCCCACATGGGATATTATCTAAACATATGCTTATTTGGGAATGACCAGCGAGCTCAAGTTAAGTTTATAGGAAAATGGGTCCTCATTCCAGGTCAAACAACTTTTGAGAGCATGGGCTCTGGAGTCAGCAAGATCTGGGTTTTGAACCTCAGTGAGGCCGCTTACTAGGTGAGTGACCTCAAGCAAGCCTCGTTACCTTTCTAGGGTGTGGTTTCCTCTCTGAACTGTAAAACGGGGTTAGCCACACTCCTTCACATCCCAGCCATCAGCAAGTCCTGTTGTGTCTAACCATCTCCACTGCTGAATCCCAGTCTGCCCATTTTCCACCAGCCCCATCCTTCTCCAAGCCCCTACCACCACTCACAACAGCCTCCCAACTGGCCTTCCCTCTTTTAGCACTTCTCCCCACCAGAATCCATTCTCTGCACATCAGCCACAGGATCTTTCAAGCGTGGATCTGATCACATTTTCCTGCATGCAGTCACTCAGCACCGCCCAACCGCAATCAGGAGAAAATCCAGACTCCTTACCACGGCCTGGAAGACCCTACTTCGTCTGGCCTCTGCCAACGTCTCCTAGCTCTTCTCATACCACTCTCTTCCTTGTTTGCTGTATCAGAGCCACAATAGCCTTCCTTCTATACTTTGATCTTGCAAAGCTCCTTCCTGCCTCTAGGCCTTTGCATTTACTCTTCCCCATGCTTGGATGTTCAGAAGGTCGGTTCTTTCAGATAGCAATTCTTAAGCCCTCAGAGGGGCGTTCCCCTGACTGCCTGAAGTAGCTCCCACCTCACTATCACGTCTGCCCCACCATCCTTTCTTTTTCTTCATAGTTATTACCATGATATGAAATTATCTTGTTAGTTGACTTGTTTATCTTGTGTCTCTAGCCCACTTATCCATCCTGCACCCCATCCCCACTACAATGGACATTCCGTGAGGGCAGGGGCCTTGTTTGTCCTATTCACCACTGTCCTTAATACACAGAGTAGGCATTTACATATTTGATGAATGAATGAAAATGTTTTCTCAGGATCTAGCTAGGTTTTCAGAAATTAAAAGAATTATTTATTATTTTTGAAAATGTTTGGTAATAGCAATGCATATATTGACTTCTCTCTGACTTCAAAAAGCAAAAGAAATCAAGGCTTCAAAGGTGGGGAAGTTGTGAGACATGGGGTTAATCTGAGCTTTAATGACTTTGGAAAAAAAACAACCTTAAAAAAGACTCTTATTTGGGCATATGTTAATTTCTTTATTTGGCTTATGTCAAATCTGAAAGATCTACTGGTCTCAAATGGTTCTATGTCATTCTATTAATTTTTAAAATTTTATTTATTGAGAGAGAGAGAGAGAGAGAGAGAGCGAGCGAGCAAGTGAGAGCGAGCATGGGAGGGGCAGAGAGAGATGGGAGAGAGGAAGAATCCCAAGCAGGCTCTGCACTGTCAGCGTGGAGCCTGATGTGGGGCTCGAACTCACAAACTGTGAGATCATGACCTGAGCTGAAATCAAGAGTCAGTCACTTAACTGACTGTGCCACCCAGGCACTCTCGTTCTATGAGTTGAACTGGGGTTACTTAGCAACTTATAAACAGACATGTCTGTTCAAAACGTACAGGTTTCCACCTCTGAGAGGCACAGTGCACAGCACAGGACTGTCCGTGGAGGCGAGGCTAACCAGTCTGCAAATGGGCAAGTTCCTAATCTAGTCAATGTTTAGCTGAGGACTTACTGTGTACCCTATACATGATAAGACACCAGGGAGTAAACGAGGAATATTCATTAGCTAGCATTTATTGGGCATAAAGATACATCAGGCACTGTGCTAAGCATGGTAATGTACATCTGTGTAATATTCCAACTCCGTGAGTTCGGCTCAGGGAGTCAGAATTCTCAGAGCTATGGCGGCAAGGCTGAACCCAGAGCTCTCGCCACTTTTACACGACATAAGACATGCTGTCACACAAGGAGAATGAATTACAATCTGGGGAAGCATGGGCTACATATATGAAACCATCAGAGGAACACTATTAAGAGTACTTAAGTTCTGATATTTGTGATCTCTCAAGCTTGAGGATACTACTAAAGCATGCAGTCTCTTCATTTTCCTGGTCTATATAAAACAGTTAATAATAACCATCAAACGAGATCACAAGTTTAAGGAGGACAACAAAGTTGAGCTGAGCTGTGCCCATTCATTGGTGAAGGGACCTGCTTTGGCAGGCCGGCACATATTACAGTGTTCCGTGGGCAAACGCTAGCAAGCGCTGAAGGAACCACAGAAGAGAAAGGTCTGTGGCCTGCAGAGGTGATAGGAGAGATTTTGATGGCAGAGGCGGGATTTGAGCCGTGTCCCATGTTCGCACACCGAAGTTGTAAGAATGCATTTACCCGCAGGTGCAGAACCTGATTTCCTGTCACTCACTGGAGAGAGCTGCTGTCATAGGCGAATCAGGTGAAACATTCTCAAGGATTATACTTGACTTCAGCCTTCAATGCGCGAGTGGGAGACTAAGCATGGATACGGTAATTACTTCTTTCTAAGTGGTCACTTTGAGGAGAAAATTCTATTTCAATGGCTGTGCTAAAGTTTTAAAAACACTGTATCATAAAGTACCACGTATAGCAAAACTCAGCACAATTGATAGGATATACCTGTTATATTGCTAATGTTACTTTAAAAGTATCACCTTAGGGGCCCCTGGGTGGCTCAGTTGGTTAAGTATGTAACTCTTGATTTCGGCTCAGGTCATGATCTCACAGTTCACGAGATCAAGCTCTGTGTTGGGTTCCATGCTGAGTGTGGAGCCTGCTTGGGATTTTCTCTCCTTCTCTCTGCCCCTCACCCACTTGCGATCCTTCTCCCTCTCCCCGCCTCAAACTAATTAATTAATAAGTGTCAAGTATCACCTCAATAGTAGTAATAAGAACATAGCTTTTTTTTTCTTTTTAAAGAACATAGCTATTAAGCCATATTTTCTCCCAAAGGGCGATCACTTAGATTTTCCACTCTTTGCATATATTCTACCTATACTGATGTGGCTTATGGTTTTTTAAAAAAATTTCTTTAAGTTTTAGTTATTTATTTAAGTGATCCCTACCACCAGCGTAGGGCTCAAGCTCACAACCCCGAGATCAAGAGTCACACGCTCGACTGACTGAGCCAGCCTGGTGCCCCTGATGTGGATAATGTATTAAAAATGTTATACTCAACATGAATTTCTTTTTGTCATCATGCTTTTGAACTGCAGTTAAGTAGACAACTCCGACTTTCTTTCACAGAAAGGTACCTTCCACAGAAAGGTAAACAGTCCTGTTTAACTGTTAAGTGTTATAACGACTGGCTAACTGCATGTGCTGTCTCCACTTCCCATACGGCAGAAACGCCTGAAGAAAGTGTAAGAGTTCTGCATTGTCCAGAGATGGAATCCTTCCAATAAATCACCTAGGTTCAGAGAGTTCTTTATTAGTGAAAACTGTCTCCAATTTGAGTTCTCTGTGGTTTAAGTTAACAGAAACAGTTCCGGTGACTTAAGAACTGTCCGGCAGGAAGCAAACCCCTTGTGTGATGACTGCACAGTTGTTGAGAAGCGACCTCAGGAATGGCATCTTTAGGACTGGGACACAAAGTAAACAAAAAGGATCTTAATGTGTTTCATATTATATGGTACTGTAGTCCTAACAGTCTGATAGTATATGTGTAACGACGTATCTGATGATTTTAGGAGGATGATTAAAACTTCTTCTGAAAGTGAGGTTTTTGTTGTACAGAAGTTTGTCACTCACCATGAAATGAGGTTGTGTTAAAATACGCTTTAGTTCCTTTGCGTCATTATTCTCGGGGTAACATGAAATTTCTTCCAATACCTAAAAAATAAGCAAGATGGATAAGAGTATAAACAGGATGCCGGCTTTAGAAAATAGAGAATTCTTTTAAATTAAAAATTATTAATAGATTATTATGGCAGGCAAAACAATTAGTCTGGAAAAAACTCATTGCTGTATTAATAAAGATTATTAATATAAAAGGAGTCTACTGATGGTAATAAAAAATAAAGCATATTGCTATAATTTCTCTGACTACATTACCTAACCATAACCCAAAAAACACAAAAACAAAATGATGTGTCTGCAATACAGATTTACTCCAGGTGTCAGTAACTTAATTAACTTAATGGGAAAATATGTCTACAAATCTTTTTCCAAACTTGCTACCAAAATGAATCTGGAATAAAAGTTAATAGCAGCTTTTTAAAAAAATATATATTAACAAAACAGTCATTCCTTTTAGAAAGACTAAAACGACACAGGCTCAAATAAAAACCTTTAAAAAAAGAGAAACACTCAAGTAATCTTCCTTGCAGCCTGGCAGAAGCAATGATCTCCACACTTATCCCCTTACATAGAGAAAACCATGCTTCTGCCAACAGTTGCTGGGATTCACTGCCAGGGAATCCAAGAGCACAGTTATAACAAGAACAAGAACACAACACAACATGAGAACAACACAAAACTTCTCCTTTCATTCAGAAAGTTATCCATTACCTCCACGATGGAGTTTATCCATGTACAGTTTGACTATGTGATGTGAGACCAGGGGCCTCTTTTTTTCCACCTCCCAGAGTAAACCTGTTGTGGTTCTAACTGTAGATGGTTGGACTCACAGAGGAAAGACAGAGAGAGGGAGACAGGGAGAGAGGAGGGGAGAGAGGGGAGAGAGGGGAGAGAGGAGGGAAGAGAGGGGAGAGAGGGGAGAGAGGGGCAAGAGGGGGGGAGAGGGGGAGGGGGGGAGAGAGAGAGAGAGAGAGAGAGAATATTCCAAGCAGGGTCTGCACTGTCAGCATGGAGCCCAATGTGGGGCTCCAACCCACTAACCGTGAGATCATGACCTGAGCCGAAACCAAGAGTCAGGCGCTAACTGACGGAGCCACCCAGACGCCCCTCACAGAGTACTTATACACACTGTGAACAATTCCCAAAGCTGAGCCAATCAAGGACTGCTTCAGCAGGACTGGGTATCAGGGGGCACGTCATCGGCCCAGAAGAATCTCTCACCTCACCTTGGAGAATCTAATACTGGGGCAGGAAGGAATGTTCAGAGGTCACTTAACCTAAGGCTTAGATTTCACTAGCATACCTAAGTGCCACTCCATCACCTCCTCAGGGAAGAACAAAAAAGACCAAACAAACACTACAGTTTTCTCCTTTCTTATCTAAAGGAACCCTTGACAAGTACTGGTTATGCTGTTCCTTCGTATTGTTTAATGAAGATAAGCAGATTCTCCTTGGTGTACTGTAGGCTTTGAGGATGAAACTGTGTGTTCTCTCCGGTCCCCTGCTACTCTCACGAAGTCTATCATTTTCAACAGCGAGGTGTGGTCTCCTAAGTCAGAGAAGCTCTCCCGGCTGGTGCCCTGGACCACAAGCGCAGGCCCAGTAGCGCCCCCTTGGTCTTCTCAGTGGCTATGCCATCCCTGCCAGCATCGGTGTTGTGTTTAATCCCTTCCGGAAGGGATTATGTCTTTCGTGCCTTTCATTTAGTAGTCTCACTGTATAAAAATATTTCTTAAGGGGAAATGCTAATTTGCATAAAGATTTTTAGAACATCAAAAAGTGGAAGAAAAAAACCCAGATGTCTAACAATGGGGGAATTGCAAATTCATTATAATTTAGTAACAGCAAAGAAGATTTATGCCATTGTTAGAATTTGTATTTGTGAAGACCAAATATAAACATTGGAAAAATGATAGTATAATGTCAGGTAAGAAAAGATACATTTTGATTACAAGTATATAAAATGTATATGCAAATGGTAGTGATTGGAAGTGCACACGCAAAAATGAAAAGTACTGTGTTAAGGTGACGGGATTATGGATGGATTTTTATTTATCCAAACTTTCTGCAGTATCATGTTTCTATAATAAAAAGTTGGGGCACCTGGCCAGCTCAGTCAGTACAGAGTGTGATTCTTGATCTTGGGGTTGTGAGATCAAGCCACACACTGGTGTGGAGATAACTTAAAATAAGTAAAAATGAATTTCACAAAAAGTTAAAAAAAAGTCTGTGATGGATACAGCCATGTACACCAACTGGCAACTTACAGAAATGATTTCTCTCTAAACTGAATATACTTAATTGCTATAGATATTTAATTAACCTCCAAACATTACCACCTTAAAAAAACAACTCTAATTTTCAGTCTATTTCTACCAAGTGTAGTAAAATGACTTACTTATTTAAAAAAAAGAGAGAAGTACCATTGATATATTAACATGTTCAACTTTACATAGCAGAACCAGAACTGGAAATCAAGGCAATGCTGCCACTGAGGCTTTCCTTTCTTTCCTGTATGTAAAACGCTCAGCGATAAAGTTAGAAATACTAAATCTGAGTATCAGGGTCCAGCTATGACTCCAAGGAAACCACCTCTTACAGTGCAGCAGAAATGTTCTCAATAAAGGTAGCAAATAGGACACCCAGACACATTTACAAGATATATCACTTACCTCTTTGGCTCTCTGTACTGCATCACTCGGAGGATTCCTGATTTGTGGTGAAGACTTTGTGTTAATTTTGTCATACAGCTAAAAGCAAAGAAGAAAATCCAATCAATACTCGTAATTCTTTGCAAAAACTCAGAGCTTCATGTTATTTATTACTTCACTACACAATATCTTCTTCTTACGAATGCCGGCTGATGGTTTTCGGTGGTATCTTCTCATTAATAATCTCTTACTCATTCAAGGAAACTCATTGCAATAGGAGTCTGACGTGTAACTTTTTAGAAAATCATCTTTAAATAGATGGCTCGAATTCTGCCAATGTGGCAATTTCTGTTCTTATTTAAAACTGATTACTATTTAAGAATTGCAGTATTTTTTTTGCCTCTGACAGAAGCAACATTCAGTAGCATGGATAGAGAGCAAAATGAGAGAATGCTTTCTGGCCAAGACACGTCTAAAAGAATTTTCACAGAAATCTAAATCTTGGGAAAGGGCAAACCCAACTCCTTCTAGGAAGGAATGTTCTCACAAAAGGTTTATGCTTGTTTTACTAGGGCTGTTTATTAACAGTATCAGTGCTGGCATCCTTCAGCAGGAAATCAAGGACACGGACTTTTTCCTTTCGAATGTGCAAATTCACAGAGCATGAGAAAACACTGAAAAGAATCTAAATATATTCTGAAACACAAGTCTAACTGATCCAAAATCTGCCTTTCTGACGACAAATGATTTCATTCTTTAAGGAGTAATCTTGGTAGAGTAGAAATACAATGAAAATGTTAATTTCTACCTCAAACGAAATGGCTCATTCAACAGTCTGCTTTGAAAGGTGAAAAGTTAAAAATGATCATGGCTAGCCTGCCATGTCTATTTCCTAACTTCTCTAAAACAGGTGGGGATTTTTTGGGGTTGGTTTTGGTTTAGTTCTTTTTTTCCTCCTTCCTATTATGCATCACAATGCTAGTGTGCAGGTCAAATACTGCCTGTACACATCCTTCAGGTTACGGTTAGATTTGCTTATACTGATAGAAGACAAAGCCTTATGATTTCTAAGTGTTCAGGCCACACCATACATAAAAATGCCTTATGGTAAATACGTACATTAATTACAAAGATGCGTAATGAGAAATGTGAAGATAAAGCAGTGACCAGTTTTAAATGATGGCATCAAGTGATACTAACTCAGAGGTTAAATGCATAGTATAAGTAGTCTAATAAAATGCTCTATTTAAAATATTATACAGCTGATCCTTGAATAACATGGGTTTGAACTGTATGGGTTTCCTTATTGTGGGGGTTCCCCCCCAATAAATACAGTACAGTGCTCTAAATGTATTTCTCTTATAATTTTTTAAAAAGTTTGTTGCAATTACAATCTCACCAGCACTGAGTACCTATCTCCCTGTACCCTCATCAGATCAGGAGCTTGTATTACAATTTTATATAAATCTATGTATCTATTTGCCAGTGTGTTGGGTGCAGGGAGTCTCTTGACAAGTTTTCTATTCCCCCACGCTCACTCTCTAGAAATGAGAAGGGATCTTTTTAATTAATTAATCTCTATGCCTAATGTGGGGCTCGAACTCACAACCTCAAGATCAAAGGTAGCAGGCTCTACTGACTTAGACAGCCAGACACCTCCCCTGTTATGATTTCTTTAAAGATTATTACTTAATGTTTTATTTATTTCTGAGAGAGAGAGAGAGAGACAGTGTGAGCAGGGGAAGGTCAGAGAGAGAGACACAGAATCAGAAGCAGGCTCCATGCTAGCTGTCAGCACAGAGCCCGACGCGGGGCTTGAGCCCACGAACTGAGATCATGACCTGAGCCAAAGTTGGATGCTTAACCAACTGAGCCACCCAGGTGCCCCATATTATTTTTTTTTTTTTTAGAGAGAGAGAGAGAAAGTGAGAGAGTGAGTATGCATGAGAGAGAGCGCACACATAAGCAGGAGAGGGGGCAGAGGGAGAGAGAGAATTTCAAGCAGTCTATACACTCAGTGGAGAGCCTGATGCAGGGCTCAATTCCATGGCCCTGGGATCATGATGTGAACCAAAATCAAGAGTCGACTGAGCCACCTAGGTGCTCCCCTTCTTATGATTTTCTTAATAACATTTTCTTTTCTCTACCTTAGTTAATGGGAAGAACATAATTTATAATACATGTAACATACAAAATATTTGTTAACAGTTTATGTTATTGTTAAGGCTTTTGGTCAACACTAATGTATTAGTAGTTAAGTATTTGGAGAGCCAAAGTTATATGTGGGCTTCTGATTGTGTAGGGGTCAGGTCCTCTAACCCCTGTGCTGTTTAGAGGTCAACCATACTAACATTTAGGGAACTAGCGATATATGGCTGGTTCACAAAAGTTAGCCCAAATCTCTGTAGAATGTACATGTGGAGTCTTCATCCTTGGAATGGTTTCTGTCTCTAAAGGCTGTAAATTTTGAAATTTGGAACTCAATAATGTATTTTCCCATAGCAATAATGTTATACATAGCATTAGGTTCCCAGGCTAGCCTAGAGATAACATACACACACACACACGCAATATAAAATAGAAGAAAAAAACAACCCCTCTAAAGTAAGGAACCGGAAGTTTTAAAAAATTCCCTAGGTCTTATGTCATGTGGTTTCTTGAGGACTTGTAGCAGCATCAGCTGGGGTCCACTCCAGATCTCCTGCATCAGGATTTGAAAAGGGGGTCCAGAAATCTATTCATCTTAAGTTTATTTATTTTGATAGGGACAGAAAGAGTACGAGCAGGGGAGGGACAGAGAGAGAGGAGACAGAGAATCCCAAGCAGGATCCACGCTGTCAGCACAGAGCCAGATGTGGGGCTTGAACCCATGAAACTGTGAGATCATGACTTGAGCCAAAGCCAAGAGTCGGACGCTCAACTGACAGCCACTCAGGCATCCCAGAAATCTATATTTTAATGAACTCTTTAGGTATTTGGAAATCTTATGCCCAAGTGCTAACTTCTGAGTGGTAGCACCAACAATAAGAATTGCTATTTTTCTCTCCCTCTCTCGCTGACCCTCCCCCGCTGTCTCTCAAAATATATAACTAAAAAAACCCCGAATTGCTACTTTTACTGAGCACTTACTAGACACCAGTTATTTGTCAAAACTCTTTACAATCCCTTGTTTAATCTCAAACAACCCTAGAAGATTGATACCCTTCTTATTCCCACTTTACAGATGAGGAAAATGAGGCACAGAGTGATAAAGTGAGAACCACAGTTCCAGCCTTACAGCAACTGCACAGGTGGTATACAGATGCTTGGAGGGTCAACATTTTCAGGGCTCTGCTCCCCAAAAAGTGCTCAGACCAAATTTTCCCTGCTCCTTTGGTCTGGTCTGATTCAGTTCCTCACATATTCACCCAAAGTTTGGTGGAACTAGTGGTGGGATGAGGGAGAGGTTGGGTGTTTCCTACAAGGCAGAAATAGTAGGAAGGAATGAAAAGAAGGGGTCTTCTGCCTGAGGAGGGGGCATGGGGCTCTGCTCCTCCCAGATCCTAGGAGAGCCCAGGAACGGAGGAGTCCAGGTAGGCACTGGACCCAATGGACAACTAAGAATAAATGGTAAATATTTGGGGCACCTGGGTGGCTCAGTCAGTTAAGTGTCTAACTTTGGTTCAGGTCATGGTCTCATGGTCTGTGGGTTTGAGCCTGCATCGGGCTTTGTGCTGACAGTGCAGAGCCTGGAGCCTGCTTCGGATTGTGTCTCCCTCTCTCTGCCCCTCTACCGCACACACACACACACACACACTTTCTCTCAAAAGTGAATAAAAGTTAAAAAAAAAAAAAAAAAAAAAGAATACATCGTGGATCTCAACTGCTTGCTCACTGACCAAAACGGCAAGTTAGAACCAAGGCAGGAAGGGGCTCATTTTGTCACCATCAGTGGGAAGAGGTAATCCCTTGTGGACTCAGCCATCCATCTACAAATTGAGGTCCTACTGTGTACCAGACAGTGCAGTTCTATTTACTGGGGTTATGAAAATGAAAAAGATGACAGTTTTTGTCCTCAAAGAACTCATGAATTTTAAAGACACATAAAACCAAAGGCCCAGAAACCTATGCTTGCTTGATCCCCTTGAGTACCTGAGAGTAGTCTGGTCCCCAGTGTATCAACTGGAAGGTGGTATCAACTCACTTAGTGAGTGAGCCCCAAGGTGGGGACTATCTGAATGTGCATGCATGACATGCCAATCTTCATTGCCCTCCTCAATTTCTGTGAGTGGGTTTTTGCCTTAAAGACTCAAAATTTTAGGGATACCCATAACAAACACAAGCCATTTGAGAAATGTAGCAAAGCAAGTAAATAAAAAGTCACAAATGGAGGAAAATTTTAATGCAGTGTCACATTAGTATTTTATTTGAGGGGAGGGCTGGGAGGGAGGAAAAGGGGTGGGGGAAGGGGGAGGGAGGGAGAGGGGGAGAGAGAGAATCTCAAGCAGGCTCCACGCAGGCTCCACGTTCAATGAACCTCAGCCTGATGCGGGGCTTGACCCCATGAACCTGGGATCATGACCTGAGCCGAAATCAAGAGTCGGACACTCAACTGGCTGAGCCACCCAGGTGTGCCACTAACATTAGTGTTTTAAAATGGTAGTCAGAAATATGCAGCTTTTCAACTTCTCATTCTTATAGATTCAAAGTTCAAGTCTAGGTGGAGTTTTATGAAGGTGTGGGGGCAAGCGAGAGGTGGCTGGGTTTTGAGAACAAAGGCTGCAGCTAGTATAAATAATATCTAGAATGATGTAATCTGGGACTTCCCCTGTTGTCTTGGACTTTCAGCTGGAGCCCAGAGCTAAGGCCAATAGGAAGTAAGTGGTACCAAGTCTACTAGAAAGCCGCCAGACCATCCCTCTAGGGCTTGCTGAAAGCCAGCCAAAATGGTCCTTCCCTAACTCACCCTAATGCTCTACTCTGCCTATAGAGGCACAAGCCTGGAATCTATAGGAGTCACAGGGTGGGGAGAGCAAGTGTTTGATCTCCCTTCCCTTCTTGTTGGGGAGGAAGGCAGAGGGAGCTGCCTTCTTCCTCATGCCAAGTGGAAGATGGCAGAT